TTGATTGTGCAAAAATAAATGGTCCAGCAGTTATTGACGTTATTTACCAGTTGTTTTGGGTGTTGAATCTTCATTATAAACAAGGTGACAGGGTGAGTTTTAGTGTGTAGTCGGTCGTTAGCTCAGTTAGTTTTAAAGGTATATACTAGTGTTGTCGTGGTTTTTGTGGTCACGATCACGTCATCAGTGCCATGCGAAATAAGCAAATCGGCTAACTGAACTATTTGCAGAGCTGAAACTCTATAGGAAAATTGCACATTCCGCAAATCGATCTTATTCAATCAATATTGTCCGTTAGTTGTATTTTCAGATCAATAAAAGGTAAACTCAATGGGTCGTCATACTCACAGTGACAAGCATAGTTTAGGAATTCTCAAATGGTCGCGAGAAACTTTTCGAAGTGGAGTAATGAAGCTAAACAACGTAATATTTCGCGGATTTTTATTTCACGGGCTTCAGCTTGTACAACTTATATTTGTCTTGACATAGCGAGTGACACTAGGTATACTAAAACTTTATAAAATCGCAATGGTAGATTTTAATCGCAAACTTTAACTTTGAAATGAAAATGAAATTGCCCAAACGACTTCATGGATTTTGACATTCGAGGTGCCTTAGATTCGGCACAATGAAATCTTCATTCTTTATTTTTTTTTCAGTTACTGCAGCCGGATTGTTTGTATTTTTTTAAAATGTACAAATTATTTAAAGATGTAGTTCTTTAGTACATCTGACAGGTTTCCTCGAAGGAAAATGTTTGATCATATTATAGAGCGTTGTTTGGTACTCCTGGAGCTATATGGGATATTTTGTCCGAAAAAATAGAAACAACAGTTTGCAAGTCAGACAGTTTTGCAGATAGAGTAATAACTTTTTCGTCAATGAGCTTCATATCCTAAGACCCTGTGTTTACAGTCCACGTCGTCTTTCTGTCTAGAAATGCTGCTACAGATTTTTGAATTGCTTTGCATAACTCAAAAACGGTTTTTTCCGAATATCTAAAAATCCGCCACCACCATACTCCCTACCCCAACCCGGATTTTCACCACCTCCTCGTCAAAATATGAATAGTAAGAAGATCAAATAATAATCTAGTTAACTTTCAAAGGACACCTAATGGAAAATGGGTCTCAGTAGATTTGTTTAAAAATTCAGTAGGTATGATTACATCCTAGACACATGTGGTTTTTCATATACTGTCCACGAGATGGGAGTCCGTTATACTTCGAAAAAGTTGACCCAAGCGGTTCGATATGCTCGAAGCAGACAGGAATAAAAAAACTCAAATTAATAGTCAATAAATTACAATACCCTGAAACTATAATCATATTAGTGCGTTTTTTCTTTCTCTTTCGCCTTAAAAATCATCATGACCTTAAATTGACCTTTTAAAGGTATATATATATACCTTGTAAGGATCATGGTCAATATTATGACACCTCACAACACCTTCCTAAAAGGTTTTTAAACGAAATACTTTCTTCAGTATAACAATTAGGATGTTTCATACAGTTGAAACTACACACAGTTTCCTTTGCATATAACTGGTATCTTTAAAAAATCTAAATTATTCATATAATTTGAATTTTAACCAAGTTATGACATTTTCTCTGTTGGGTGCGGCTTCTGGGCCACGGCGCTGACACGGCCGGACGACGTGACGGCTCTTGCATACCGCATTCATCCTTACTACTCAAACAGATCTGTCCCAATATACTGTTTGTATCTTGGCATATATTGCTGTGCGATATTATAGATATACGTTAAATTAAATAGAAGAATTTCTGGGAACCACTAATCTCCCAAAGGTGGGCATAACAATGGCTAATGGTTAAATATACTTTGCTTTGGCATACATCAACATTTATCACTCGCAATCGACGCCGCAGTGGTTCAAAAGTCCTAAAGTATGGCCAAAATTAGAAAGATTCACCAAATTTTACAAAAAAATCCATTTCTACGTGTTCCAGGACTTTGATAACGAATGTAATATCCATTTGTCAAAGATCAAAATGACGGGTATAATATATCTTTGTAAAAAATATTTTGATTGAGATCAAATTTTAGTTTTAGATGTTTTCAGGCTCGGTTATAACGAAATTGATATCGATTGTTCAAAAATCGAAATAGCGATTTTAGTATGGCGGCTATGTTTGCAAGAAAAAGTGTTTTAATCCCGCTTAAAATAAGATTTCAAGTGCTTTTGAACTCGCTAATAACGAATTAAATATACAGGGTGTACACGTTATGATAGTCATTATTTAAATGGGTGATAGACGGGGTTAAAAAAAGTAAAAAGTTTCGTATAACATGGGGGTCAAAACGGAATTTTTAGAGAAAAGCGACTTTAAAGTAAAATAAAATCTGGCTACGCCACAATGCCAGACGCAAATTACGACGGAACGCAGTGTAAATAAAGATGGAGTTTGTTATTTTTGGCTCTTAGGTATTATTTCATTATTTGATAATGTACTCGTAAAATGCAAACAATTAAAAAAAACGGATTTACCACTAACTGTCTCAGCGCTTCACCTGGTGTGTGAAAGTATATTGAACGTATTAAATAAATCCACTTATAAATAGGGAACACAATTTTGATACATACATTGTTTTTCTTTTTAAAACCCACACTGCACCTTTTTGTATTTGTATTTGTATTTGTATTCAGCCGCATTAAGTTGTGCTTCAGTTGTTATTGGACCAGCCCCATAAACCATCTCTTTAAGTTCCCTCCAATACCAGAAATCCATCGGATTGAGGTCAGGAGATCTTGCTGGCCATTTTCGAGGATCAGGAGCATTTCGCCCGATACAGCGATTTTGATAATGTTCATTCAAGTACTGAATGACGCCTCTAAAAATGTGTGGTGGTGCCCTCTCATGAAGAAACCACAAATTATGTCTCCTTTGTAATGGCATGTTGTCTAAGGTCTGTTCCAAAAGTTCTGGTAAGTTATTGTATGGTAAAGTATCCTTCTCCTAACAACTTTGGGGGTAACCCGAAAGGGCCAATTACCTGATCGTCAAGATTACCCGCCAAAATATTTATTTCAAAAAGTTACTGGAAATACCGGTGTGAAGTTGGCAGACAAAATTTAGCGGACAATTTGCCGAAGATACCCGAATGACCAGTGGCGTCGACATCCTCGACCAGACTGTGATTGTGAAGGATACAGCTAACAGCTCGCAACAATAAATATATATGCACGAGAATAAGCACCACTATAGGAAGAATCATTTTCCACCCTAATTAAATAATTCGCAGGAACAAGAGTTAACCCAAGTCCTTTGTTCGAATTTTTACTTACCGATTACTGTATTGAAAGTAATTAATGAGCTAAATAGCATATACTGAGAAAATCTCTAAAGGGGTGCTAGATGAAAAAATATAAATAAAACTTCATTTTCACCCCCAAAAAAATGATTCCCCAAAATGATTTATATCTCAAAAAAATACTCTATTACAGAGACAATTCATGGGCTAGGTGGTATGGTGTGAGAAAGCTTCTGAAAGGCTGGCAGATAAAAAAATATGCTAAAAAATTAATTTTCACCCCCAAGGAAATGATTCCCCAAAATCAGTTGTACCTCAAAAAAATACTCCATTATAGAGACAGTTTATAGGCTAGGTGGCATGATGTGAGAAAGCTTCTGAAAGGCTGGCAGATAAAAAAATATGCTAAAAAATTAATTTTCACCCCCAAGGAAATGATTCCCCAAAATCAGTTGTACCTCAAAAAAATACTCTATTATAGAGACAATTTATAGGCTAGGTGGCATGATGTGGGAAAGCTTCTGAAAGGCTGGCAGATAAAAAAATATGCTAAAAAATTCATTTTCACTCCCAAGGAAATGATTCCCCAAAATCAGTTGTACCTCAAAAAAATACTCTATTATAGAGACAATTTATAGGCTGGGTCGCATGGTGTGAGAAAGCTTCTGAAAGGCTGGCAGATAAAAAATATGCTAAAAATTCATTTTCACCCCCAAGGAAATGATTCGCCAAAAACAGTTGTACCTTAAAAAAATACTCCATTATAGAGATAATTTATAGGCTAGGTGGCATGATGTGAGAAAGCTTCTGAAAGGCTGGCAGATAAAAAATATGTTAAAAAAATTCATTTTCACCCCTAAGGAAATGATTCCCCAAAATCAGTTGTACCTCAAAAAAATACTATATTATAGAGACAATTTATAGGCTAGGTGGCATGGTGTGAGAAAGCTTCTGAAATGCTGGCAGATAAAAAATATGCTAAAAAAATTCATTTTCACCCCCAAGGAAATGATTCCCCAAAATCAGTTGTACCTCAAAAAAATACTCTATTATCTATATCTGCCGGCCTTTCAGAAGCTTTCTCACACCATGCCACCCAGCCTATAAATTGTCTCTATAATAGAGTATTTTTTTGAGGTACAACTGATTTTGGGGAATCATTTCCTTGGGGGTGAAAATGAATTTTTTAGCATATTTTTTTATCTGCCAGCCTTTCGGAAGCTTTCTCACACCATGCCACCCAGCCTATAAATTGTCTCTATAATAGAGTATTTTTTTGAGGTACAAGTGATTTTGGGGAATCATTTCCTTGGGGGTGAAAATGAATTTTTTAGCATATTTTTTTATCTGCCAGCCTTTCAGAAGCTTTCTCACACCATGCCACCTAGCCCATGAATTGTCTCTGTAATAGAGTATTTTTTGAGATATAAATGATTTTGGGGAATCATTTTTATGGGGGTGAAAATGAAGTTTTATTTATATTTTTTCATCTAGCACCCCTTTAGAGATTTTCTCAGTATATGCTATTTAGCTCATTAATTACTTTCAATACAGTAATCGGTAAGTGAAAATTCGAAGAAAGGTTTTGGGTTAACTCTTGTTCCCGCCAATTATTTAATTAGGGTGGAAAATGATTCTTCCTATAGGGGTGCTTATTCTCGTGCATATATATTTATTGTTGCGAGCTGTTAGCTGTATCCTTCACAATCACAGTCTGGTCGAGGATGTCGACGCCACTGGTCATTCGGCAAATTGTCCGCTAAATTTTGTCTGCCAACTTCACACCGGTGCTGGAAATGACCTTTACGAATGGTATGAGGATTTTTTTGAGCCCACGTGTGAGTATTATGGAAATTTAATATTCCGTCTCGTGTAAAAGTACATTCGTCCGTCGCTAGATTGTTCTTAAGAAAATCCGGATTTTCAATGTTTTTGTGCAATGTTAGTCTGCGAGGATAGTCTTCTGGTATCAAGGCCCGCACTCGTTGTACATGGTAGGGGTAAAGCAAATTTTCTCGTAGGATTCCATGGACTATGGTATGCGGCGGAGTAATTCCCGATTGCTGATATCTGCATTGATTTCCACGATATTTAAAATTTGTTCCTCCTGCTCTACAGTAACCTGTCTTTCTCGAGTGCGAATATTAGTGGGCTGAACACTTCCTGTATCTCGAAGTCTTTGGTACACTGGCACAAATGTCCTTCCATCTGGGTGTACCCGTTGGCGAAATCTGTCGCGATAAATTTGAGCTGCAAGATTTGAATTCTGACGAGCTTCACCGTAAACTAACAACATGTCGGCGAACTCTTGATTCGAGAACATTGTAAACAACACGCCCGATGCCCGATAACTAACCACTGTTACCGTTTGCGATCGATTGCGTTTTAAATATTCAATTTAATGAAACTTACTTACTAACTACAAATTTTGGCTTAACTTAGAAAAACTTAATGCCATTTATTTGTTAATTACCCAATTTAAAAACGTTTTAGATTAGATTATAAAAATTAGTAAGATTGTGGTGATTGTGGTCGATATAAAGCACATAACGTTGTAAACTGTAAAGCCATTTAGACAAAAATCTATTGACTTTTGGATCATGGGTCATATGAACTTTTTGACTCGTTTTGACCTCCCCTATTACCCATTTCAATAATGACTACCATAACGCTTACACCCTGTATATTCTTATAAATCTATATGGCGGATCCAGTCTGCTATAATCAAAATCACGAAAGATGACTATTACGTCTTACCATAAATTGTACTGAAGTAATCAATGGATGTACGTCGATGATAAAATGATGATGTCAGGAACATAATGACAACAAATTTATATTATGATTTTGCGAAGGTAGGTTATTTCACTGATTATTTTTATTTTCATTTTATTTCATGGTTTTGAGTGATACCTTAATAATAATTTTAGTGGGGAGTTTTTGTTTTGAAAAAAACAGTTATGAGTAGAACCTTAAGACATTAACACCAAAGACGAAAGTATTATTCGAAAACAACCTAACCAGCTTTAACATAACCTAACTATTCATCTTTCAAATATGATCTATCATGCAACATGAAAACATCGTCTATCTTTGTTGGATACATGCAAATTAGCATTACAGTTTGTTTAGACCATAAAATTCTGTTTGTCTCTGTCTAACATATCTGAAACTTCAATAAAGATATTCACAAATCGCTGTCGTTTGTCTTTACTACAGACTAAAATGATGACGTAATCGTCATCTTTCGTGACTTCGACTATATGTTTGCAAAGCATTTGCTGACTGCGCTCAAATTACAGTTTCATATCTTTATTTATGTATTAACAATATCGTAAAATTGCCAAAGTTGCCGTGAGTGGCACCCAAAATTGACATATGTCTTAACCGGATGTCTGATAAACCTGCTACTATTCGAAATAGAGCGGACCCAGATAATTTTTTTAAACTCTTCTTGAATCCAGTAATTCACTATAAATTACAGAAAAAATACCATATATTTATTTACATATTTCCGGCATATAATGTCACCTGTCAATAGGCAATAACTATACATACCACTGACTCCGCAGTCCATTTTGCCACATCTCAATACAGCTAATTATTTTAAAACGTGGCACTATTTGACTATAGTCAACGCCAAACAAAGTGGCGTGCACGTCATCAAGGTGGGTGTGTTGAAAAATTTACATTGTTGCCAAACTTTTTGTAAAATAATAAAATTTATTATTTACATATCTAGGTTTATAAGCAATATTAACCTCAAATGAGAACAAAAATAATAGTATAATAAAATTATAGATCTGTACTTGCATAATCATTAAGTATGACAATTATTGATCAGATGACACTATGAAACTACCATATTTAATTGATAGCTTAAAGGTACTGAATAAAAATCCAAATGGGGTCCTCCAAATTTTATGCATGGTATTTATTTTACAGAATTCATACAGAAAAATGCATTCTAAAATTAGGTAAGCTACTGGTGTAAGCTTTTTCTGTACAATAAAGTTAGTCGGAGTTTCTTTCTTCAGTGCTGTCTGAATCTGAATCTTCATCACTCTCAAAGTTGATTATTAAAGGTTCGATGTCTGGTCGATCAAAAATTCGTTCTCTTTCATACCATTTAAAAATTTCTTGCTCAGTATGTCGAACACTATTTTTCCACATGTCTGGGGTAACCGTTTGTAGAGCCTCGTTCCACATATCCAGTCTTTTTCACTGTTACCATCTCTACCAATATGTCTGTTATAGTAACCTTTTGCTATGCCCCAAATTAACTCAATAGGGTTAAATATACAATGGTAAGGAGGCAGACGAAGAACTTTGTGCCCATGTTGTTCCGCCAATTCATCAATCACGTATATTTTAGGTGGTTTGTTTCTAAAAAAGCAGTTATTTTAAGAATAGGAATAAACAAAAGAAATATAAACTGTCGACCAAAATATATATAATTAAGAAGCATTATGTACCGAGCAACAATACTCAATAGCTCTGTTTTAAACATTGTGTTTAAAAATGGTATGTTTTGATTTGTCAACCAGTCTTGGATATTTTTTTTTGTCCATGCATTGTTGGGCACTTTGTTCAATATCATGCTGTGATAAGGGGCGTTATCCAGTATAATCATAGATGTACTCTCCAATTTTTCTAATAACTGATGTTGAAACCATTTCAAAAAATTGTCCTGGTTCATCTCTCCATGGTAATCGCTCAATTTTGTTTTCGAAGAAAATATCGCTTCACTACCCTCAATAAACCCATTTTCATTTCCAGCATGTAATATAATGTATCTAAAATATATTAGTTTTAAATTTTATAGTGCAAATTGTGTAAAAGTACATACCTTTTACCATCTGTTTTAATAGCTTTCACGCTTTTTTGGTTTCCATTTTGCCAAGAGCGACCTATGGTCCCATTTTGAAATATCCAAGTTTCATCGAGGAAGACAAACTGGTATAAGGCCTCAACCTTGGCTTGATTGTATTGCCTTAGAAATTCCACCCTTTTCAAAGCTATACTTGGTAGTTCCATGAGCCCTCGTCGCGGATTGTCCTTAAGCCACTTAAATCCAAGATCTCTAAGCAACCGCCTTAAAGACGTGGCACTACCATCAAATAATGCCCTATCTCTTAATCGAGACCATAAAGTTTCTATCGTAACTTATTCTTCTGAAACCATGTGTAATATGACATTATAATTTAGTTAACAAATTAATGCAAATTTCTGATAAGTTATTATAATAAGATCTTACTTTTGTGATACATATTATAGATCACTTCTCGAATGGCACTTGTATCCAATGTCGCTGTGTTGGTTACACGTTTAATATAACTCCGCTTTTTCTTGGGCGATTCTAAATTTGCATCACTTTTCACACCCTCGGAAATACGACTAACTGTCCTTAAACTAATTTTTAAAGCAGCAGCAACACGCTACAAAAAATGAAATAAAATTTCACTATTATTAATATACATTACATATAATTATTAGTAACCTACCTCTTGAACAGCATTTAAAGGCAACAAAGGCCCGTTGTTGTCCCTTTCTTGCTCAAAGTAGTGCATTAACGAGGCCACGAGTTCCTTACACCGACCATTTAACTGTTTGGGCATCTTTATATACCAAAATTGCCTTTATCTACTCGTAAAATGAATAATTTTGTTTTGAAACAAACAGTTGTTGATTTACAGTATGTGGGGCCAAAGGATTTATAAAGATTTGAAATGCCACAAATTGATTCAGTGTCAAAATTAATACAAATGTCAGTTCCCAGTTTAAATAAGTTTCAAGGTGACAATGTGTCAACGCTGCGAAATCGGTTTAGTGCGTTTACATGTCGATAAGTGATTGGAGCGTTTGCAAAACATTTTATTTCGCATAATGCGTCTAAATTTATCAGAAAGCAACTTATGTGATATTTTAATAACAATGTTTATATCACTATTAACCATAATAAGAGAGTAATGACCATTTTACAATTTATATATCACATTAATATGAAACTGCAATAGAGCAATTGTTTGTGATAGAAACCTAGGCATTAGGCCGGGGAATTTTTATCGTGATGACGTGCACGCCACTTTGTTTGGCGTTGACTATACACAAATATTTTACACCATAGCAACAACATTCACATTATCTTAAAATAAAAGCAATAAGGATACCTACCCCTGTTCTCGTTTATACCAATTAGGTGATTTATGCATCATAATAGACATATACACTAATATTTATTTTGATCATTTTTACTCTCTCATATTAAAATTAGAATTACAGTAATAGAATATTTCCTAAAGAGGAAATTGTATCGTCCATCTTCGTTACCCCAATTCTTATACGTTTTGGCACAGGTAAAAATATTTTTCTGTATCTGATATGCCTGTATTTGTACAACGCCAAGCGGATTATTCATATACATACTATATGTTCCAAATGAGAAAAACTCGGCGAAATTGCTTACAACTTGTAAGGAGAGCTGATGCATATAGTTTATTTACCGACTCAAGAACGTATTTTTGTGAAGATCACTTCAATGTAATTGTAATTACAAAGTCTTTTTTTAAATCTGAAGCACAATTGATTAAATTTAGTTCTAAGATGTTCAAGTTGGGGGATGTTAGGATATCTCAAATGGTTATCATATTTTTCAACTGTGCCCCGAACCAAACATACACTAGACAGTATCCTCCGCAGTTTTGCTGATTGTAAAATATGATAAAATCTTTGAAATCAAATATTAACTATTTACAATTGATTTATAGATGTGTTTTAAGGTGTAATATGTTAGTGAAGTTGCCAAAGCTGTAACTTGCTTTTCAAGGTATATCCAAATCACTAGACACTATCACTATCGGATACATTGATAGCCGCTCTGGTATAAAAATGTCAACAGCAAGACGCTCGACTTGGCATGACGTAACACTTTCTGATTGGTGTTTCGTGTCCAGTGACTACATAGCTATTTCTTTTAATTTTATTTCTTAAAAATAGCAATAATCTATAGTTCTTATAATAAATGATATTGTTTTCTGTTGTCGCCAAAGCATCATTAATTGTTGGAAACTATCATCCATCTGATGTTTTTCTAGTGGACATAAGCCTATTCTCGTAATAAGACTAGCGTCTGGGCAGCGTAACTTTGTCATTTTTCGGGATATTAAAAAAAATGAGTGCTGTACTTCATTTTAGGTGTGTTTCAAAAAAAAAACAGGAAACTTCCTCATTGAGTATTTGGTCGGAGAACTACAGCCGGCACATTCATCATTTTTGCAATTCGGGCAAACTTCTTCCCCATATTTCTCAGAAACTAGGCATAGGATTGCTTTTGGTCCCATGAGAACTCTTGTTCAGGAAAGCGAGGACTATGATTGCTCAATTTTTAGACAAATCGACTGGGACCTGTTTTCCATTTGTTTTGTGCGAGGTTCTTCGTGGCAGGAGCATTAGGTATCTTGAAAAGTGTCATTGTGTCGGTTTTTGACATTATTTAGGTTTTTTGTGACTTAATGTATGTTTTTCCTCAAAATGTCAACTTAGAACAGCTGAACTTGATGTGCACTTGTTCTGTAGCTGTACGTGTTGCCTAGACGTCATGAATGTTTGACTCTGATGTGATGTAATATCTGCTTCAGAGATGGTATCATTGGAAGTTAAAGCTGCAAGTTGCATACTGGAAGGAAACGGCAGTGCGTAGGTGCATGGTTAGGATTTGTGTGCTAATAATCTGTGTTGACGATAATTCAATTGCTTTCCTGGGTCAAATACACTTACTTGTAATGTATGCAAAGCTAGAAATTAGTTGCGCATTCACTTTTTCTTATTCATCCTGGAAATTACATAAATTTGCAAATATGCCGAATTTCAAAAATGACAGAGATAAGAAAAGAAAATCCCCCATCGTAATGTCTCTTTTAACACACGTATTGCACGCTTCTCGTTCTTCTCTCTCGTACACATTACGCTGTCAGTGGTATTTGGTTTTCAGTGTATATATTACAACTAACTGGTGAGAAAATATGCCACATACAGGAATATTTATGAAACGTGAAAAGGTTATTACATTTTACATTATTTTTTTAATTACAGTCATTTAAATTTTATAGAAATTTATTTTGCGATGTCAAGGAAATACAAATCAGCGCCTAGATGTGAGGCACCCCCAAAATTACAAAATTACACACAACGCGAGCGCGGTGGTGATTTCCCGTATTGCAAAAGCAGTAAACCTGGGGAAATCGTAATTTATAACTTTGAACACCCGCTTTTCAGAAAGGACAACACAAATAACCCGTCTGGTACAGCTCATGGACAGAATATTCAGTAATATTCAGTAATTTTCCCACATAGCAAATATCTCTGATTTTATACACATGCAAACCAATACACACAATCACTACACAATCATCCAGATAGGTTTTTTCACGTATTTACCCTGGAGGTCTTGGAGACTGAAATTCCCCGGGCTGTTCTCTAGTAAATATGGCATTAGATTCAAGAACTTACACTATTATAACTCATAAACGTCTAGGTTTTAACGTTGTGAAACTTTGTATAACAAAATGTACTATTTAATTCAATGTTTCCAGTTACCATGGCTCCACAGCCGTTAGCCCTGGGTCCAGATCCAGCACCGTTCACCTGTCCACACTGTGATGCTAAAGTGACAACGACTGTCAAAGCGGCTGCAAATACGAAAACGCACATACTCGCTTTAATCCTATGCAAATGTCTGTAAGTAACTTATCATTACAAGTCACCATGGGAATACGCGAATCATAGCCAAGAATTTGTACATTGTCAAATATCCGTCATTATCCATAGCCTGTTCGTAATTAACGAACTTTTGCAAGCCAGCCACTTCACCGTTGTATAAAATAATTATGTGTTTAGAATTTTTAGAATTTTCAGGGTCTCTCAAAATTTCGATATCATAAAAATAAAAAAAATTTTGGAAGATTTGAAAATTTTTATTATTTAGAAAGTCGTAAAAATTTCGAAAATTTTAAATCAACATGCTGGGCATGTATTCAAAGGAATGTTTCAGTTGCTTTCATTTTTGAGTGCATATGTTTTCAAGGTCGTTGATAACGAATTTGACAATGATTTTCTATGATGCATAACTGTCAAAGCTGCAGTTAGTTGCTACCAAAATTGACATATTTCTCAACTGGAGTTTTTTGTAAACTCTTTTTGAACTTGTTGTCGAATCGTATCATGTGTCGAATTGACGAGTAATACAATTCCATGTCATAATTATACATACCTTTGACTCTGCAATCCGTCTTGCCACAACTCAATACAGCTGGTTATTTTAAAACGTGGAAATATTCGAATAGTCTTTTTCACGAGTAACGATTACGTCAAACGAGACAGCAAATAACAACAACAATACTGACGGATCTGTCAACGCTAAATCTGTAGACAGAGTGGTATTTTATTGTGATGATGTATGCTATGAGTTCATGCTTCCAAGCTACGCTTTTATTTAGAAAATCACCTTCGCATACAGGAAACAACACTACAAGCAAAATGACTGCTAATTATCATGACTATTTTAAAAAAGTAACAGACTGGCTGCTGCGGCTAAACCATAGTGGCACTCTGGCACTGTGCACGGGTCATTACGAATTGCGTCACGACATGAGCAGTACAGTGCAGACTGTGCATGCAGTGAAATGAAACGGTTAGGCATGTTTTGTGTAGATGCCCTGCAATTGCCAGAGTCACGTACACACTTAGGAGAGTAGTGCTCCAGGTGGAAGACCTAATGGATATTTCTCCTAAAAAGCTGATCGAGTTCCTTGATAGGTTGTAGTTACTGGGAGAAATAGGTGTGAGCCGCAATTGATCAGTGAGTCGCAGTGGAGGATCGCGATTGACCCACTCACAAAAAACCTAACCTAGTGAAAAATTTATTTTATTCTTACATGACTTGAAATATAGCCATGATCATTAGCAGCCATTTTGCTTGCAGCGTTTTTCCTAGTGTGCGAATGTACTTTTGTAAATAGAAGCATTGTTATTAGGTATAAATCCGTAGCGTACAAAAAACCACAATAAAATGTACAACAACACTGTCTAACGTTGACAGATCCGTCAGTATTGTGTCACTAGATAATTCGGGGTATTTTGTAGTGTTTCTAAATAATCAGTTGTTATTTGTATACTTGTGAAAAAGACTCGATTATTAATTATCTATTATTAAATAGTGACATTTTACTAAAGAATATTTAGCACAGTATCATTATTTTCGATACTAAATCTACTTCATATTTACATCACCATGTACTCGTATTCCATGATGAATCACTTTGCGTATATTTTATGTGATAAAAGATTAAAGACCACGTGACAGGCGATATAATATTTGATTAATGATAAACATATTACTATCTAGCTCTGCCAGGAATAATTTACGTTATTTCAATTTTTTATCTTTCCAGATGCATACCTTGCTTGTGTATTCCATATTGCTGTCACTCCTGCCAGACTTTGCAACATTACTGTCCAAACTGCAAGGCATACTTGGGGGCGTATGTTAACTGAAAATGTATTTTTTTATATTATTGAGTTTTTTTTTGTTATACTTATACTGGACGTTTAGTGTTTAACCTTACCAGTATGTTTGTACATCAAATATTTATATAAATACTCGTTGCTTTATTGTCAACCTACTTCCAATTTTATCTCAACAAGATACTTACGTTGTATCGCAATAACTCTGCACAAAGTACCGTGCATTAGTTGTCGCCAAAATTGCGGAGTTTGTGCATGTTTTTTACTCATTTGTCTGCGAATCAATGCTTAACAAAGAGACAGCGTTGTATCAATATGAGGTTAATACTTACCGATGGAAACATTTACCTTTGTTAGGCTTGTGCTGCTCGTTGCAAATTATGTAAGAAGTACCATAGCTTGAAATCGTGTAACACCTTAATTCTGTTAACACTCGTACTTTTAAAAGATAACACTAATGGCCGTATCGTCAGTCGTGCCTACAATTTTAGGTCGCCTTTATGGCATCCTTGATTGTCATAGCCTTTTCTCTCCTTCAGAAATTTCTAGATTTCTCCTGTTCCGTGTCAGCGCGTTACCAGCGCTCTCCTATTGAGAAATTAAAATTTTGTTTTTGATTGTAATCAGGCTGATACAACAGATGATATAAATCAAAAGCATGAACAATTTGATGTAAATAAATATTTGTGGCATAACCACAAAATAGTACTGAGACGAAGTGGTAGAAAACTATGACAAGGCCATCAATTTATTGGACACCTTTATGGCCTCCTTGATTTTCATAGTTTTATACTTTTCTGTGTCAGCGCTCTATTTTGAGGTTACGCCACAAATATCTATTTGCATCAAAATGTTCATGCTTTTGATTTATATCATGTTTTATTATCCTGAAATTTCCTACAATTCAAAAAAAAAATAACTTCACAATAGAAGAGCGCTGACGCTGACACGGAGCAGGTGCAATCTAGAAATTTATGGAGAGAAAAAACTATGACGTAATGGTGTTGGAAATAAAACAAAAGGGTATGAACTATAGATTTGGCAGACTTATCACCAATGGGATAAGCTTAGGAAAATTTCGTAAGCTTATCATTTATTGTGAGAGCATAACATTTAGGAGGAACTTCTAAAATGTCGATGTTAATGCGTTGGAATGGCGCTTTAAGAGTTTCGGTAGCAACTAAAGGAGTGCTGAGGTTCTTTCAACAAACTTTAGCTTTTTGAGAGATCTCGCATTTTTTAATAAAGTGTTCGATATCTTTTGTTAGACCAGGACAATTGTAACGTTCTCGGATTCGTCTTATAGTTTCAAAAATATTTTTCTTTCCACAATGATACTGATCTAAAATTACGAGAATTTCATCTGAAGTGGAGGTTTTGGTAATATTTTAGAAAATAACCGGCTTAATTTTGTCATCGGAAAATATGATGAAAAATATTTCCAGAACGGGCAAGTCTACATTGTTTTCTACGTAGATTTTCTGAAACAAATCAAAGACATTTTTCTTATTTAAAACAACAGTGAAACGATGCTGAATGCATGTCGGTATAAGAATGATAAAAGATTAATATCTTTAACAGTTTTGCTTGATGTAAGATTAATTTTGTCAGCAGAAAACTCAAGGTTTTCCTCAAATACATCTTCTATGATCTTTTCATGAAGATCAGAACGAGTATTTTGCCTAAAGAATGTAATATATGCTTATGGCTGGGAATTGGAAAATTGAATTTTTGAATACTCAATCAGAGATGTGTCTTATAAAGGCGTTCAAAAATGCCAAATTCCGATTCAGAAAATTGAAATGAAGGTTCTCCTTCGTCGTCATCTTGGGTAAGGGCATTAATACTGGTGGGTATTTTTATGCGTCGAAGGACATACGCCTCTAGTTTAAGGCGCCATCTTGCTAGCCTGCTGCCGTATCTTGGCAAGAAAAAAGCCAAGTTAATGGTCTGTGATCCGTGATGAGTTTAAATTTTCGACCATACAAATAAGGCCTAAAATGTTTTACTGACCATACAATAGCTAACAATTCACGTTCGATTGTGGAGTATCTCGTTTCAGCTTTACAAAGTGGAGGAGATGCGTAGGCTATAGCTAGTAAATTTTTTCCTATGGGTCCTTGAGATAAGACGCCAGATATCGCAAATGCGCTTGCATCTGTAGTAACCACAAACGGTTCTTCGAAGTTAGGATAAATTAAAATGGGAGATGTAAGACTGCAAGGATTCTTTATCAAAGTTAAACGTTGCGTTTTTCTGTAATAGTCTAGTCAGGGGTTTCGCAATTTTTGCAAAATTTGGAATTAGCCGTCGGTAATAACCGACTAGACCTAGAAAGTGGATTCGAGCACCTATCCTATTTTTTGCTCGAATCCACTCTCCTTCTTTTTGCGGAATTTGCTCACTATTTTCCTATTCTTTGTTATATAAATTTATCCGCATGATCATATTCTCTTTATATATATATACAGGGTGACTTCGAAGTTGAGTCATTTATTTTAACAGTGAGTAGATCTGATCAAAAGAAATGTTTTTTTCCTTTACCATTTTTCTGGTAAAATTAAAGTAACAAAGTTATAGCCCTTTGGAAGTTTGAGTACCGCCCTGTCTCAATAATATCATGTACTCGTGTTTGGCAACAACGGATATAATCCACCTTATCGGTTCATCGCATCGGAAACAAAAAAGCGAAAGAATTTGGAACGATGTTTATTTTATTCAGTTCAGTTATACATACAGTCAGTGTCAGTCGCGTGTGAATAGTGTCTGTTGCGTGGCTTAAACGAAATAAAAAATGGCACATGTTTATGCGGATCGGTTTCCCAATCGAGTGCAACCAACCCCTCGTGCCTTTGTTAATGTAGTACAACGGGCTCGTGAATCAGGTGACTTCAGACCTCACAGGGGACCTCACGATCAAATACAGGTCCGCACTGAAATACTTGTCGGGAGGATAGTTTATAAAACAAGGTAAACATTTTTTTTTATTTTTTTTTTATTTTTACACACATATTTTGGTTTATCTTCCTTCTACAATCATTATCTGAAAATTAATGACTCAACTTCAAAGTCACCCTGTGTATAGATCCCTCTCCACGTGTAGCGGAAGTAGAAGGTTAGAGACTGCATTCCGATTGTTTCCCTAAAATGTCTTTTCATGTTTAATAATTGTATGTGTATTGATATGTTTAACATGTAACGAAGCTATCTGTCGTTATCAACAAGCTCAATGTCTGCATCCTTTTGTTTTTATATTTATAACAAGTTCTATCTTCTCTACATTCGTTTTGAAACACCTTGTGGCTGCAACCTCAACGACGAGTAAGTTGTTAGACAATTTAAATCGGTCCTGTATTCTTTGCTAGCATCACAATTGCGTTTTCAGAATCCTGATGAAGGCTCCATAGAGAATGCCGAAAGCTTGATTTTATCGTCAAAAGAGTCAACTTAACCCTAAAAATTTGCCAATTTCCCAATTAGCAATTAATTGTATTTTGTGCCCAACCGATCGTTGGCTTTGGCAATGACTACTGCTCACGTTATATATATAGAGAGAATATGATCATGCGGAGAAAAGTATATAACAACAAGTAGGAAAATAATGGACAAAATCCGCAAAAAGGAGGAAAGTGGATTCGAGCAGAAAATAAGATAGGTAACCCGAGCGATACGTATTTCTGCTGGTTGGATTCATCAGGCCCGAAATGAATGCATATATGCAACTACAAAAGTAGATACACATGCCCGTACATCCGGATACGGGTGTAACCTGAGAACACGAAGATGGAGAGGGAAAAATCACACACGAAGTCCACAACAGGAGCCAACCTACACATTGTAGTATAAAATGGCTAGAAAACATAGAATTTTCAAGGCGATATCTAACCACAACCACGCGGACGGTTATAGCCACTTGCTGTTTTCCCCTCCAACTTCGTTTCCTCAGGTTACACCCGTATCCGGATGTGTGGGCATGTGTATCTACTTTTGTAGTTTCATATGTGCATTCATTTCGGGCCTGATGAAGCCAACCAGCAGAAATACGTATCGCTCGGGTTACCTATCCTATTTTCTGCTCGAATCCACTTTCCTCCTTTTTGCGGATTTTGCCCATCATATATATATACAGGGTGACTTCGAAGTTGAGTCATTTATTTTAACAGTGAGTAGATCTGATCAAAAGAAATGTTTTTTTCCTTTACCATTTTTCTGGTAAAATTAAAGTAACAAAGTTATAGCCCTTTGGAAGTTTAAGTACCGCCCTGTCTCAATGTGCTCGTGTTTGGCGACAACGGATATAATCCGTCGTATCGGTTCATCGCATCGGAAACAAAAAAGCGAAAGAATTTGGAACGAATTATTTCATTCATTTGTATACAGTAAGTGTCAGTGAATAGTTGTATCTGTTGCGTGGCTCAAACGAAATAAAAAATGGCACATGTTTATGCGGATCGGTTTCCCAATCGAGTGCAACCAACCCCTCGTGCCTTTGTTAATGTAGTACAACGGGCTCGTGAATCAGGTGACTTAAGACCTCACAGGGGACCTCACGATCAAATACAGGTCCGCACTGAAATACTTGTCGGGAGGATACTTTATGAAACAAGGTAAAAATTTTTTTTTATTTTTTTTTTATTTTTACACACATATTTTGGTTTATATTCCTTCTACAATCATTATCTGAAAATTAATGACTCAACTTCAAATTCACCCTGTATATATATATATTCATTCCCAAACTAGTTATTTGACATCATAAATACGAGTACTGAGACGTAAAAATAAATAAAATAAAAAAATACATTCTGAAAATAAGCTTTTATTTGGCTGTTCATATTTTTTTCAGATTGGAAATAGTTAAACAGTAGTGTTCCTTCTTCTTGTAAGCATACATAATATTTTAGAACTTTTCTGCATGTGAGTCACCCTGTAACAGGTTCGCTTGACACTTGGAATACCGAGGAAGGCACTGCTGGCATACACATTTCAACAACCACGTACGACCCTGCGTATTCGCGAAACCAAGGGCGCGCTGAGGCACAAGCCCTCTTAGTTCATTCGAATATTGTTTTAACAGTTAAAAGGTGGAAGTTTCAAGTCCCTGAAACTAGCTTCAGATTCAGATTCGAAAATGATGAAATTACTGTTACAGTTCAGTAGTGAGCTCAAATCGCCGATATGCTTGAGAACTGGTGTTTTCAGCTACTGATGGTTACTTTATGTTAAATAACGCTTTTTCAAAAATTATTCTAAATAATATCCCAAAATTCAATAGAACCTGTGGTGGAGTGATTGGGAAAACAAGAACAAGCACTAGAGTGCTATCTTAATAGGAAAAATGCCAAAAATGATTTCTTTCGTGACTAGTATTATTAGTACTACCGCTGTAATTAGGGAAGACCGGGGCTAGTTGTCACAATTTTCAGTAATTCTTTTTTTTTATTCGATCTGAAGCGTTATATGCACATATTTGGTGCATAACTAATATGGTTTATCCTTCAGAAACACTATGTAAAATCGATAAGGCTGTCAAATAATTTACAATATTAAATTAAAATGTTTCAAAATACAGAAACAAATGTGACAACTTGCCCCTTGCTGGGGCTGGATGTTACATTGCTTGGGGTTGGTTGTCACGTGTATTTTAGATCATTAATAATTTATATCATACTTTTAAACATATTTATTATTACAAATAAGACATAAGACATAAATATTTGGTCTTTAGATACCAAATCTTTATGAGAAAAAAGTAGAACTGTTTTTTTACAATTAGTAACTATCGCAGTTATGACATATGTAAAGTTCGCGTCCATCAGTGCACGCATCATGAGACCAACCATTACATGATGAGCATTTCACCCATTCTTGATTTGACGCGCTGTTAGAAAATGGTTCAAGACAAATCAAGCAAAAACATTCTTCTCCATCAGTTTCATTACCTGAACAGGACTTGCGTTTTTCAATTTTTTTAGATTTGTTACTTTTTTTTCTGAATCAAAACGACCCTTTTCACTGTTTCCCTGTTCCTCTTTTTCTTGTTCGAGCAATTATTTTTCTTTCTCTAATTCGTCTTTTACCGGAGTGTCAGTGAGTATTGCAGTCCCTCGTTTACGATGGGAAACTTTTTCTTGCCGATGCCTTTGGGTAAGGTCTTAAACTTTTTGGAAATACTATATTTCCCGCATGCAGCCTTACTAAACTACTACAGCAGGGATCATCAAAACTAGTTTGAATAGCTGTTTTGCCCTCTCGTATATTATCTATTCCTTCCTGCGTGTTAATATTTATCAGACTTACAGTTTCATCTTCGTTCAAGATGGTTGGATTTGGCCCAACTTCCCTTTCGTTTAAGGTTTCCGGTTTTGGTCCAGTTATTGCTTCGTTCAAGGTACCCGGATCTGGCCTATCAGTGACAGTGCTCGCAAGAAAGTCATCATCCGTGAAAATATCTCTGTTGTAAGGAAACTCACCCGACACCCGAAATCCAGACTGTATATTTTTGGGAGTATATGCGAGGGGGTATGCAATAGAGACCACTGCAGGTATGTCGTATATAGTCATGGTCTTACCGGGATTATTTAAAACCCAAGCATCGCAGGAAGTATTTACATATTTCTTAAAAGGGCCGAAAACGTACTTTTCACAAGGTGAAAAAATCTAAGAAACTCCAAGAAATGTGACTCTTTCATCCAACCTGATAGATTTGCTGAACCTTGTGAGCCAAGAGGAGCCGAATTTAAAAAATGTGGTTTGAAATGTACCCGTGAAAAAATGAAAAAAGGAGGTCTGGAATTTCCAATAGCTGATACTGCAACTGCTAAAGTAACAAGAGTTACTCTTTATGATGAAACTATCGAACCAACCAGTTTGAATCCTCTTCTGGCAACAAAGCGGTCAGGTCTTTGGACAGTTGTAATCCCAGGTTCGTCCATGTTCCAGATTTCACGAGTTCAAATTTGTTTTTCTATAACTGAAGCTAAATTATCATAAAATCCGTTGACGTTCGTTTTATTGAAACTACTGGCTCTTGCTAAACTAGTTGCTTTCGGTTTGCTAATAAACAGTACAGGATGACGTTTTAGAAACGCACTAAACCAGTCAGGACCAGCTATTTTATGGAGCTTCCAATTTTCCGGCATTTTCAAGGAATTAGCATTAGCAAATTCATATGCCAGTCCACGTACTACCTTGGGCGATAATTCAAAATAAATATCAGATGCTTTGAGTACATATTCCACAAGATGATTTTCAAGTCCAGGCTCAAAAACTAAATGATTTTTGATGTAGCCAGCTGAAATTGACACAGTATCATGCTAAAGTACGGTAATTTACATTGAAGTCAGCTGCCGCTTTTCTTATTGAGGATCCTAATCTCACTAACCTAGCAACGCTTAAAAATACGTTAGGTGGCGCTTTGCCCTTCTCAGTCTTCCTTTTGAAACTTCGAACCATGCTTATGTATCCTGAAAATATTAAAAAAATACATTGTATAGCAAAGCTAATCGTCTAGTGTGGGGGCTGGTTGTCACATGTGACAAGAGGCCTCCGCTAATTTGAGACAACCTGCCCCACTAGATATTTAATTTTTAAGGTTAGATAGCGTCACTAAATTAACAAATTCAAAGGCAATACTTACGTTAAGGCGTATTCGGATTATTGAGGAGCAAAATAAATTCAACAGTTCTTTTTATTATCAAATGTAGTCTTGAAAACACAAATTATGTGTCATCGAAAAATTTACTCAGGTTAGGCGATTTATTTATTTTTGTGCGTGCGACCTTAATCTACCAACGACAACTTTCGTACTGAATACAAGATACAAGTGTTCGGCGCGGACGCAGAAACGATGTGTAGCACGCCAGGCAACTACATCTTGCGGAGCTGCTGGCATTTAACAATTGTGACAACCAACCCATGTGTCAATCAGCCCCGGTCTCCCCTACCGCATACATGATAATATCATGCTAAATGCAAAACTCTGTACTTGCAATTTTGCTAATTTTACAGTAGACGATAAAAACGTATTTCTCGTAGCTGCTAGTTCCCCGGTGCATCGAAAATGTTTTTAATAGAAGTAACCTATCATACCGATCAACAGTCTTTGACTAGTACCTACAGATGGCCTAAAAGATGCAAGTGCAGAGTTTTACACTTAAGGCAATCATTTACCGAGTTTTGCATTTGAGGTGAAATGATAGTTTTAACTTATTTCTTGTGATACATAGGTAAAACTGCATGTACTTTCGAATGATTTATTCGCTTAAACATTATAAAAATACAAAACGAATAATACATCCTTACTTAGTATAAATAAAAAACATTTTTATTAAATGTTTAGGACTGGTTGTTCTTCTTCACTCTCGTATTCCTCTTCGGGGTCTGTTCTATTCTGGGCTTCTGTGTAATTTTGTCAATAATTTTATAGAATTCCAACTCAGGTAAATTTCGCCATTCATTTCCGTAATGGTTCTTCAATAAAATGTTAATTGAAGACTTGTCTCCGTTCAAAGAGTTTTCAATCTTCATCTTCTTGGGTCTCATGTCTGAAATTTTATGATTTCTTTTCGTTACACTGCGAGGAACTCCTAAATTTGACTTGTATAAAATTTCACCTTGAATGGTAGCATTAAATGTTTGTGTTTTCGCAAAAATAAATCTCTTTATTCGTTAAACTTAAAATGCCAGTGTTCCGGTTTTTTTATTACTCTAACAGCTTCAGTCTTCCAATCAAATATTTCCCACTGATAGTCGCAATTTCTCAATCTCAGAACTGTAGAGTGTTTTGCTATAATATCTTCATATTCTCGTCGATCAACGATAACATTTTGTTTTTTTATTTGTTTCTCTACTAAACCGAACAAAAAGAGTGTCCTACCATAGGAAATATACTTTCCAAATTCTTGATGTGAGCAGGTGCTTCCATTACAAGTCAATATGCTAACATGAACATTAGGGTGGTGTTTTTATTTTGCCCCCCACAACCATCTGCAAAAAGCTGAACTTTGTTTATTGTTTCTTCGAAATTATGTGTCGTCAAGACATTATGCACAGATGATGCAATAGTATTTGAGTTCTTTGCAAATTCCGTTTCTAACCACACGAAAGATTTTACATTCTCTTGCGATAACTTGCATTTTGAATCACAGCAAACAACCGTAAAGTTATAAAGGTTTATTTGCTGACAAAAGTATGCCGATTGGTCGGGAAGTTTGGGTAATACCAAATTTTTCTGGCAGTTAAATGTGAAAATTTCCACATCTTCTTGACCATTTTTGAGCATACCGTAAAAAGCTTTAGCTTTTAAGACATGGACCCTGTGTTCGATTATTAGTTTTGTTTTTTCTTCGGGGAAAGTTACTTTTGCAATAGAATCTTTTGCACGGAGACAAGTTGAGCACGCATCTGTTAGTGGAGTACCAAAAGCTAAGTTGTAGTTGCGATTGACGTAATTTCTGAAATAGCATAATCTAAAGGTTTGGTCTTTATTTCGGTCGCAATAAATGACATAGAGTTTCTTTAAATTAAGATCACATGGAAGGTATAATCTACTTGTATGACCACGTCTATAATGGGATTCTGCACATGTCAGACTTTCGATAAAAAAATTTATTGATTGTTTAACTTGATCATTTTTGTCTTTAATTCGGTCTCCTCCTCTCTTCTCTGTCGGCGCTTCTCCTTTCAAAAGATGACTGCGTGCTAGTCTCTCGATTCTGAATGGACTCAGCAAAGTAATCCCTTTAAATGAGACTTTACAAACTCTGACTCTAGTCCCGTCATTTTTTGAAATATAATACTGAATAGAAATTGATTTTTTCTTTCCAAAACTTCTTTTGGGTTGTACCCTTTCACAAAATTTTAATATAAGTATGTATTGTTCAATTTTACTGCCGCATGAATAAATTAGCTTATGAAATCGATGGATATCACTCATGATAGCTTCTTACATGAATAAGTAGATTTCTTGTCATGGCGGCATGTGGGATATTCAGGTAAACCTTTTGGCCTACGCCTGTAAACAATATTAGTTTGGTAATTATTATTTTTCTATGAATCAAGTTAGTCAAACGTACCATTGCGCTTTTAATTTTGATGTTTTCCAATTTTCTTTTCTCACTGGTCGTTTTCGCCTTTTTCCTGCTTCACAAGGTAGAATCAGAGAATTATCATCCATTGTTAATAACACACACGACTAAAGAATTCAAACTTCAAACTGAAAATAAATAAACAGAATACGAGATAGACACGCGCCGGTGTTCCAGAATTGATCACGTGATTAAAATGCTCCAATGAAATTGGTTGACGCTAATTACGCAGTTTTGCATTTGACATATATATATATATATATATATATATATTACGTATATATATATATACATATATAGGATACGAAATTGATAATATGATAATAGCAATATAACGTTAAACGTGAAAACATCTCCTCTTAGAAGATTTCGAAGTACCGCCCCGTACCATTTCATTTTTACTACATGGGCAGTACGTAAACAATCCGATATGGGCAACAATGTCAGGATAGTATTAAAGTCACTTACTTGGTGACGAAACGACAAGTTATCCTCCTTTGGCAAGCGATAAGGGCGATATGATCGGATTGTCGGGGCCAACACCTATTTTTAGAAAAAGACTTATGGGTATCTCCCGTATACAACTGACACATGACATCACATGCACACATCTACTATTTACCATTACATTAATGTACCCCAACTACTATTACGAATTCGTCATCGACTGAATCACGGGATCGTCATCACACAGACTGATCCTGACCGTCATCACACAGATTGATCATTAAGTCATCACATAGACTTAATATGAGTCGTCACACAGACTCACTCTAACTCTTTGGTCGCTAGGTGTATGGTCAGACGTGCTGAGTTTAACGATTGTTACAAAAAGACAGTCCAGGAACCGGATATCACGCTGGCCAAGGGCCGTTGTGTCAATACCCCAAATCTCCGACGTTACCCCTGAATCAGAGGGTAACCGAGCAATATGACTATCATTAAAGTAACAATCCCTTCACGCATCCTGCCATGAGATACATTCAGCGATTGCCAGAAGATAGTTAAGCGGTCATTCAGACAAAGGACGCCACTTCGGCCAAAGGCCACCGTGTCAACATCCAAAGCGCTCCGACGTTTCCCCTGGTAGAGGAAACCGAGCAGTAAGTAACATAACTACCTCAACCCAGCAAACGGGCTCCGAAAGTCCCATAACAACCCTCAGAACCTGGAGGCGTCCCACCTGCGGATATTCAATAACAAGTCGTAAGCCATAAGTTAAATTATGAAGGTAAAAATTATAGCATCTTTATAAACATGGCTTAAGACATTCATGATCATGAATATACTCGTAAAAGTATTATGGTTATCAATCCATGCAGTACAGTAGAATAAAGGAAACACTCAGTGATTGCTCACTTTTCAGGTAACCAAAACACCACACCCAATAGCACATCAACACTGTAATCAAGTTCACAAAGCGCACTACTTGGTCTGAGAAGCGATCTCATCCACGCAATATTTGAACTGTTTCGCCGTCCACGCCCGTATAACAAAGTTTATCCTGGGAACAAGTACCCAGAGAAGGAATGGAATGTATAATGTAAACAGGCGTAAGGGCTGTCGCGCTGAGGGACACTAAACAGCCTTGTGAACCTTCTGGAAAGGTTTTGTGTGCTACAAGGTTGGACTCGCATGCAAAAAATGTGTTTGATGTATTTCGTAAGCTTACATTCGGCCATTCGACATTCACCTCGCCCCGAGGTGATCATTCGCTACCCGACGACGCTGGAAGTGGGACCCCATCGTCACCACTTTCGCTACCCGTGTCGTCCGAAACACCTCCTGGTGTACACCAAGGTTTCATCCTGTCCACCGTAACCGTCCTCTCATAATTCGCCTTTCTCCCGGTACGGTGCGATCCCCCCATGTCCGATACAACATACCTATCGTTAGGCAAAGCCGCCGATGGACCGCTATAAGGTGACTGTAATTTCCGACTCGCCCCCGTAGCAGGATTCTGCTTTTCGACCAAGACTAAATCGCCTGGTCTATATTTCCGTGGAGCCTTCCGCTTCTTGTCAAAACTGGCTTTTTGTTTCTGTTGAGTTGCCTCTATTTTTCGGGCAGCTCTCTCCCGTGTGGCAACAAGGTCTTCGAGGAGTATGTGGACTTGACTAACTTCGTCCTTTAGAACCATATCCACACCTTTTCGAGGTCCATAACCAAATAAAAGTTGACTTGGAGTTTTCCCTGTAGACTTATTTGGGACGTTGTTTATGGCAAACTGAACATTTGGAAATTCTCTGTCCCACAGGTCTTCCTCCATCGTCGATGTAAGTAAAGCGTTTAGCAACGTTCGATTTAACCGCTCTACTTGTCCATTTTCCATTGTTCTGATGGCAGAAATCTCTGAATTTCTTGGCTGTAAACGAACTTTCCTGATCACTGATTAGTACCCTAGGTACTCCATATGTCGGTGACAGTGTTGTGATGTAATCTATCACGTATTTAGTCTTTGTCGACTTTACGGTCTTCAGTGCGACAAATTTCGTGAACCCATCAATTATCGCCAAAATGTGACAATTGCTTTTCCTACTTTTTGGGAATGGTCCATGTGGTCAACGTGTACCGTGAAGAAAGGAGTTGGGAGTTTTCGGAATCGGGTGCTAGAACCCTTCCTTTCTACCAGCTGGTTTCTTGTTATACACGCATGGGATTCAGCAAGACATATATTTCTCCAAATACTTCCTCATCCTTGGAAACCAGTAGTGATCCGTTAAACGATACAATGTTTTGTCCATGGCAAAGTGACCGAAATTATCATGAGCCGCTTTCACCGCTTGATGACATATACCTCGTGGCACAACCCATTGAATACCTGGAACCGTAAGACGGTCTGTACTTCACTCCAAAGTCAAACTCCTGGAGTTGCAACCACCTCCTAGCAATTCTGGGTATTATTTGCTACTTTACACTGGTGGCCTTCAATGCATTACAATCAGTCACCACTGTAAAATGAACCCCTAGCAGATATACCCGGAACTTTTTCAAACTCTCAACCAACGCCAGAGCTTCCAACTCATATGAGTTTTACTTCTGCTCACCATCGGTGGTTTGCCTACTATAGTACGCCACTGGATGTAGCCTCTTATTGAGCTGCATCTACAAGAGTATCCCTGCAACTCCCAGCACACTTATGTCGCAACGAAGTTCAGTGGGTCATACAGAACCAAGACTGGCCAACTCAATAAGTTACTCTGCAACTTCCTAAATGATCCTTCTTCCTGTTCACCTCACCTCCAAGGACACTTTTTTTGGACAAGATTTATGAGGTGCTTTGTAACTTTAGTGTAGTCCTTCACAAAATGCCTGAAGTATTCAGTTAGTCCAAGGAACTATCGGAGTTGGTGTACTATTCTTGAATGACGAAAACTCTCTACCGCTTTCGTCTTCTCCTGGCCGGGTTTGACCTTTCCAACCTCTATTTGGAACCCAAGAAATGTAACTGATCTCATCAGAAAAGCACATTTCTTCAAGTTCAAAGTGAGACCTTCCTCTCGAAAGATTCTCAGAATCACGAAAGATTCTCAGAACCTTTTGGATGCCCTCCGATGATTCCTCTACAGTCTTAGTATGCAGCAATACATCATCAAGATATACGGATGCAATGTCTTATACCGGTTTGAGCAACCGGTTCATAAACCTCTGAAATACTCTGGGTGCATTTGAAGGGCCGAAAGGAACTCAATTGAATTCATAGAGACCTCCTGGAGTGACAAATGCTGTGTATCTCTTCTATTCCTCCTCCATAGGAATTTGGTAGTATCCGGACCTAAGATCTAGGCTAACGAAATAGATCCCGTCACGGAGCCTGTCGATTCAATCATCGATTCTTGACAAGGGGTGATTGTCCTTGACTTTTATCGCACTCAAATGGCGATAGTCGACACATAATCTTCGATCGCCATTTTTCTTCTTGACCAGAAGAACCGAGGATGCATAGTTTGAGTCTCATGCTCGTATGACTTTCACGCTCAGAATATCATCGACTATCTCCTTCACAGCCTCTAGCTCTGAGCGAGGTATTCGGTAAGGCCGATACGTGAATGGCCTATCCTCTTTAGGGTTCAGCCATGGACTGAGCAAAAGAGTCGCGATATTGATCCGGCGAACTAACCAACTCAATATCCGTCACGGTAACTTGCTTACAGTGAAAAGCAACTTATTTGCAGCCTGCTTCCACAGTGAAGGGTTTTCCAACAAGTAAAGTGTATTTCTAACGTAACTTTGATATCACAAGGGTTTTTATATCCACGTCACAACATCATTCTCAATGCTTAAGTGACAAAAATTATGAACTGGGTCAAAACATTCACATAATCCATCAGTATGGCCACTCCCGAAGGGTTATAGGAAATGCACCAGTTTGTCACCACATCGAAAGTAATGATGAAACAAGTGTGATCAAAATTGAACAACCTGTTTATGGGCAACCGTCCAAAAATGTGTTTGAGATATTTCGTAAGCTTACACTTGTATCGAAATGTTATAATTCACATAACGTAGCAAGTTATAAAGGGTGTCTCATAAATATTTTCTTATTTTATGCCATAAATAAAAATACTTAGAATATTTTTACAAAGATAAATTTATTACCAAACGAAAGCCTAAACATTAATTTTATTTATGGAAAAGAGTATCGGATAAATGAGCACCGTTCATGTTTTCACACTCTCTTAATCTCGAACTGAAGTTTTCGATCACTCTCCGAAGCATTGCTCGAGAAATGGCGTTTATTTCATCTGTTATTTTTTTGCTTCAACTCTCTCAAATCTTGTGGCGGTGGGGTGTATACCTTAGTCTTCAGGTATCCCCATAAGAAAAAATCTGCTGGTGTCAAATCGGGACTTCTCGGTGGCCAGTTAATGTCTCCTCTGCGACTGATGACCCTCTCTGGGAATAACTGATGAAGAGCATCCAAGGATTCATTCGTGACATGAGAAGTCGCTCCATCTTGCTGGAAAAACGTGTTTCTATTGTAGCCACCATGGTTCTGTATAGCTGGAGTTAAAAAAGTCCTAATCATGTGGCAGTAGCGCTCAGATGTTACAGTTTGAGCTTGGCCACGATTGTCTTCAAAAAAATACGGGCCAATGATTCCTTGCCCTGACATAGCAGCCCAGACGATAACTTTAGGCGAGTGTAATGGCGTCTCATGAAGATTTTGCGGGTTCTGCTCGGCCCAATATCGGCAGTTTTGTTTATTAACATGCCCGTTAATGTGAAAATTCGATTCATCAGAAAACCATATGTTGTTGTAACCGTTAAAATGCTCTCTCATTGTTCTACAGAACTCTAATCGATTAGCGGGATCTTGTGGTTTTAATTGTTGTGTAACAACAATCTTGTATGGGTGAAAATGCAAATCCTTGCGAATAATGCCATGAACAGTTGACTTATGCAAAGTTAGAGACGCTCCACGCAGTCTTAATGATTGCCGGGGATCCTCGTTAACGGACTGGCGCACACGTTCAATATTTTCGTTCGATCTTGCTGACCTTGGCCGTCCAGGCGGTTTACTAATACACGTGTTTCCAGTGCTCTCGAACTTTCTTACCCAATATTTAATTAAATTTGCGCTTGGGACATCTCTCATTCTTGCTATGTTATAATGATTTCTGTACAAACGACGTACAAGCACATAAGAATCCTTGTTTTTATAGAACTCGCGAACACAAAAAGCACGTTGCGGCTCTGTAAAACGCTCCATTGCAACTAAAATTTAACAATGTTGCCAAACGTTTGTCAACTGTCTCGTTTCTCCGGAGCATGCGTATTCCGCCAGAGGACTGATCTAAAAACGAAAATATTTCTGAGACACCCTTTATATACACAAGGTGTTTCAAAATGCTGTGCCAATATCTCTAGGGTAGAAAGAACATCCAAAACTCTCAAAAAAAGTTCTAATAAATGTGGGTCCAAATATGCGTCGCTACCGACTTGCAGGGTGATGAAGTTTTATTTACGAAATTGGAAAAAATTATATATTTACGATTTAGACGTTTAGTGAGCACATCATAAGCAATAAACGCACAGAGTTTCCCGGCCTAAACTAGGGTACCCGGAACCCTAGTAGGAAATATCTTCTACGCCACTGGCCTTTTCGAAGAAAAGAATTGCATTTTATAAATACCGTCTAAGGTGCCGTAAATTTTGTCCCTTAAGGGGTTTTTGTCAGATCACTAGGTTTGGATATATTTGTTGAAATCCTGAAATGAATGAAAAGGTTTAGCCTCCCCTATTCTGAAAACACCGTGAAGCTTGATATTGGAAGCGCTTTATGGCATGTGAAGAAAGCTGTGGCACCTCAATACTACATTAATTGAATAATCCATATCCTCAATCAGTAGCGTAAATGCTTACCATTCATGAAATCTTTTCTCTGGACGCCAATGGTTTTGCCGGCATATCCATTTTTGTTTATAGATAAAGAAACTTCAAAATGAAGAAACGTTTATTTTAAAAATAAATAAATAAAGCTAGTAGGAATTAAACACGACAAAAATAATATTATATTATATAAATATTACATTTCAAACAACTTACGTGGTTATTTATAATTTTATGAGGATATTGCGAACAAAAATTAGTTCTGAATAAATGCTATAACATCAAACCTAAAGGTGTTGAAGTGACCACCTCTGGATTCAGTACAAGCCCTTTAGAAAATACCTGGCGTATTACAGCTAGTGTTGAAAGCCTTCTGTATACCTCGTGACCGAGGATGCTAAAGATTTGTTTTATCTTCTTTGTTGAGCTCACTTAATCCGTAGTGCTAGAGAATTTTGAGAAAAGAGGCCGATAATTTAAGAAGTAAAATATAGCGATTTTAATACAACTGATTGGTTCCACAAGTACTAGTGATTTTAGACAAACAGAAGATCTAACATGGGTAATGTCAGGTACATATACCATGAAAACCAGTGGCGTGCATAGCCAAGGTTTAGTGCGAGGTAAGCTTCTACGCTACTGAATGAGGATAAGACACGCATATCATTCAGTTAATGATGTAGTGAGGTGCCATAGCTTTCTTCACATGCCATCTATTGTTTCCAATATCAAGCGATTCACAGTGTTTTCAGAATAGGGGAGGTTAAACCTTTTCATAAGAATGTTTTGGGATTGTACCTTAAATATTCAAACCTAAATATCTCCAAACGACTGATCTGACAAAAATTGCTTAAGAGACAAATGGGATGAAAATTGCATGGTATTTTATAAAATGCACTTCTTTCCTCCAAAAAGGCCACTGGCGTAGAAAATATTTCTTACTAGTGTAAGCATACACAATACTGTGAGTCACCCTGTAAAAGTATCGCTTGACACTTGGAATGCTAAGAAAGGCACTGCTGGCATACACATTTCAACAACCACTTACGACCCTGCGTATTCGTGAAACCAAGGGTACGCTAAGGCACAGGCCCTCTTAGTTCATTCTAATATTGTTCTAACAGTTGAAAGGTCGAAGTGTCTGTGTGTTGTGATTTTGTGAATAGTGTCCATATCAAGTTCAGGCCAAGGTTCGATCAATCAAACGGTGAGGGTTTTCACTGAGTACCTTTTATTGTTTTGCTGTACTGCATGTCATGTGTATTTTCTAACCATGGTACCCTTATAATAATGATAATAATTGTAATAAGTCAAAACTAGTCAGATGAGATATTTTTGTCAACAGTTAAGATAAAGTTAAAGGTAACTTAGAGTCAAACATCTACAGAGGTGTGACGTCTCAATATCCTGGAGGCTGTTATGAGACCTGCAGAGCCGGGTTGCCATCGGGGGAATTACTGCTCGGTTTCCTCTGTCATGGGAAATGTCGGAGCGTATTGGGTATTGACACAACGGCCATTGGCCGGCGTGGTATCCTAGGTCTGTGTGACCGCCTAGGTTCTTGTCGAGGCAAGCGCAGGAGTCTGAAAGTATCTCATGGCAAGATGTGTATAGAGATTGTTACTTAAAGTTGTCACGCTGCTCGGTTATCCCTAAATGATAGGTAACGTAGGATCTTTTGGATATTGACACGGCAACGTGATATCCTGGTTTCTGGGCTGCTTTTCGTAACAATCAAATACTTGGCATATCTGTCTAAGCACCAGATTATTAAGGTATCCATACTGGGCGTGACTTCAATGCGGTAGGAAGCTACCGTTCCCCCGTGCGCGTTATTATATTTCCATATCAGGCATGACTTCCATGCGGTAGGATGCTACCGTTCCACCATGCAATGTATTGTAATTTATAATAATTTAATTGAGAAATATCATGGCCATTATTATATTGTTTTGTGATCAGTATCGAGACAGCTAATTAACATAATGAATAGACAGTAGAGTTGTGCATGTCTTGAGTCGGTAGGATATGGAAGGTACTCAAAATGTTTTTCCTAAAAATAGGCTTGGCCCCGACAACCCAGTTCTATCGACCGTATCTCTCGCCAAGGAAGAACAAGTCCCCTGTCGTTAGGTCACCAAGTAAGTGTCTTTGAAATTATCCTGATATTGAAGCCCATGTTAAGTTGTGTATGTATTACTCTCGTAATAAAAGTGGAAAGTTACAGGGTAGAGGGTAGTACTTCGAAACCGTCTAAGATGGGTTTGTGGTTTTCAGGTTTATCGTTATATTCCATTGTTATCATCTCTCATTCCTATCCTACACTAGGAATGCAGGTACCTCAGTTTCTGCGTCCCTGGTTTGGTTTGGGCCGGGAAACTCTGTGTATTTATTGCTTATGATGTGCTCACTTAACGTCTGAAATATCAATTCAGTATCTTCACCCGTTCCGTAGACATATATTTTTTTCAATTTCCTTCATCATAGAAACATTGGCACGTCAAAGTTTTCTAGTTCTCGAAATATTGCCACTTTTCTTTTTTCAAAAAAGCTCTACTTTTTGCTCCTTTTTGCCTATAAAGAACTTCTAACTTATGATTTTTCCCTGGGTTACCATTAATAGTTGAATATTTATTTATGGATACCTAGCACGGTATGCTAGAAAAACTACATTATTACATTTGGTTTCATTGCGAAAACCTTTACTAAAGTTTGACTAATTACTGTGAAACAAATATACCAGACTGTGAATCAGCAAATTACTTTGAAAAGTAGCTACCTATTTAATGTTCTTTCAAAAATAGTATAACATTTGTAGGTTCTTTTTACAACTTAATACATAATTCCAAGTTTTGTCATTGAAGTCGTAATACTTGCGAAATACTATAAATAAAAAATAATATTTTAGAAAGAGCATCAAATAGGCTACTTTTTAAGATTATTTGCTAATTCAGTTGATACATTTTTTTCACAGTAATTAATCAAACTTTAGTAAAGGTTTTCACATTGAATCAAAATGTAATAATTTGTTTTAGCATACCGTGCTAGATTTCAATGAAATGAATACTCTGTTGCGGTTGTGATAAGTTGGAAGTTCTTTATAGCCGTAACAAGCAAAAAGGAGCAAAGGGTAGTGATTTTTTTAAAAAACTTAAAAGTGACATTATCTCGAAAACTAGAAAACTTTTACTAAGGTACATATCGCTGCCTTAAGCTGGCTACAGACTATGCATGTATTCGCGATTCGTGTTGCACGATGCGTAATTCGCGGGTAGTTCACGAATAGTGTGTAGGGACTTGTTCGTTAAAAATCGATTCATAAACAACATGATTCGCCTGTGCATAGTAATTCGCTCTTGAGAGCGGTATATTAACGAATATCAAAGGCTGCGCATCGCCACGAACCACTGATTCGGCGAAATTTATCGTTGATTCGTCCATTCGTTGTGCGCATCTGTGGTGCGCGCTAGTTTGTTCGAGCACACGAGTACAGGTTTTAGGTTATGTTTACTCGTATATTTACATAATTCCGCGTTTTTTGGTTTTTCTTAAGAAGAATAATTAGAAATCATGGCAGAAGAAGAATATGAGTGGTCTGATGCACATGTGCTAGATTTAATCTATGATATTGAATAACTGCGTTATTTGCGGGATCCAAGAGATAAAGACGAGAAAAATAAAAATAAAAAATGTGACGCCTTTAAAATTTTGGCAGAGAAGTTCGGAGTGACTGCTGAAGAAATTAGCAGGAAATATTCAACTTTATTACAAAGTTATAGAAACTGTAGGCGGAAAATAAAGAACAGTACAAAGTCGGGAGCCGGAACAAGTTATGTTTATAAACCAATTTGGTTTGCCTATGAAGCACTGGACAAATTTATGAAGGATGTTTATACACCGCATGGAGTAACAGACACAATGGTACGTATGTTTTTATTAATACAACACACACAGACATACTACATTTACCCGCTAACTTTACAAAATATTATTGTTATTCGTCCTGCCACTGAATTTTGCCCTTGTAACAAGTACTCAACAAATTCGTCGCGAATTTTTTTCACATCGGAGCATGTTCTTCTACCTTTTCTTTGTAATGATAAAAATGATGTTTGTTGGTTAGTTTCGTTCCTCCAAGACCCATTCAGACAATTTTACCTTCTTGTTCTCTATCAAATGTTCCTGGAGGTGTGTACATATTTATTGAGTTACTACTTCTTTTTAGAAAACTATGTAGCAATACACAACATTCTGTGATCAATCGAGATTTATCTGGATTCAATAAAATGGGTTTCGTAAAACTCGAAATACTGCAGATATAATTCCAAATACATTTTCAATGATCCTGCGGGCTCTAGAAAGTCTATACTCTCTGGTGTGCCTCTGTCATGATTTCCACTGTAAGGAACCATGAGGTAATCTTTCAGAGGAAAAGCATTGTCACCAACAACAACATAAGGTACAGGTTTTTCTCTCATCGGCAAAGGTTCATCAGGAGGTAGATTTAAGGTCTTATTTTCTAACGCTGCATACAAGGTAGAATTAATGGATACACCTCCATCTGATATTCGGCCTTGCGAACCTATAATACTGTATATTACACAGTAATCTGCGTCACACAAAGCCATAAGTACTATACTGAATGTTCCCTTGTAGTTTATATATTCACTACCTTTATGTATGGGAGACATTATCACTATATGTTTCCCATCTACAGCCCCAATACAGTGTGGAAAATTCCATCGATCTTTGAATAAATCTGATATGTTTTCCATTAATCAGAAGTCGTAGGAATCTGTAAATAATGTTACCAGTTGTTAATATTATTATAAAAATTATAATTGTTAGAAATTCACTCATCATTACTAAAGACACATTAAGTTCTAATTTATTTATAGATTTTCAGACAAGTGAACAGGAACTTGATGAGGACGGGCCCAGGGATGCCTCTATTACCTCCGATGAAGATCAGACTTCTGAAGCCAATCAAGAAGTAGAAACTATGGCTGCTGATAACCGACCAACGCTGAAAAGAAAAGAATTTCTCTCGCTAAAGAAATTACCACCGAAGAAGAAACCAAGACAGCCTTCAGATGTGACTGATGCAAGAGTGGAAGAGGCATATCACAATACCTAATAAAGAAAAAAGTGAAGGAAGTATAGAAAAGGACGAATGTGTTATCTTTGGAGAGCTAGTTGCTGCCAAGCTCAGAAAAATGGACGACATCAATCGGCAATACCTGATGAACGATATAACTAATTTAATGTTTCGAGCAACAATTCGTTGTCAGTTTATGCCACATTTGGGAGCATCTTCATCTCGCTCTGGTTCTTCATCACCACCATCCTCCTCCTCTTCTTGGTTTCTATTAGTAGAATCACCTCTAACTTCACCTGAATTTCCTGCTTCTCGTATTTTATAATCAGTTCCTACTAGGCCTTCATCAGATAGCCCACAGTCACAAACATATTCACAGATTTCTGATCAAATATTGCAGTCATCTGCCAACACGGCTTCAGCTGCTCAATGGTATACTGATTTCAGTAGTAATGTAACTGATTGAAAAATTTAAAAAATAGGTATTTGAAAAATATATATTTAGTGTCTTTACTCCTTTAAAATATTAACTAGACCTGATTTTTTGAAATTTAAAGTAAAAATTGAAAAATATAAAAAAATAAGTATATTCCTTACCTTTACTTGGTCATGAAGTGCCTTTTTTAACGCTTCACATACTTCCACAATAATGGAGGATATAAGTTGTGGTGAGATTTTGAATAAATAGCTCAAACTCTGGTAGCGGTCACCTGAGGCGAGGTATCTTAAAGTTACTGCAAGTCTTTCTTTGGCAGAAATGGTAGGCCTCACGTGGGTGGTCTGTTTAGTTATAGCTGGGCCTATTAATTGCAGGAGAATTTCGAAATCCGCAGATGCCATCCGACAAAAATTTTCAAATTTACTAGATAGTTCCAGCGATAAATCATTGCCATTATATCTGTAAATAAGGAAGGGTGTAATAAAGAATATCTTCTCAACTGAAAAAACAATGATTAACAATAATTACCTTTCTCTATTTTTGAACAGTGATAAGCTCCACCATCTGCGTTTTTTCGGTTTTTTAAAACTTCTTCTTTTGTGCCATGATTATAAAAATAGCGCTATAGCTATTATATAGATCATCGTCTTCTTCCATATTTTCTCAGAGCATAGGTTTATTCCAATTTCCATGAATCAGCTTGAAAATGCGACCGAATATGGATGAATCAAGACGAGTCATGCATCGGGCATCACGAATCGCGAATACATGCATAGCCTGTAGCCACCTTTAGAGTTATAGTGTTGTATGTATGTAAATGTTTGTTTCGAGTTATGGCATAAAGAAAATGTTATTGTAATAAACAATTATTAAATTTAACTTACTTTCTATACTGATTTTCTAAAATTATGGTTTTTTTTTGGTGCTGAAAGAATCACATAGAACTTTGTTATCTTACAAAACGTATTTATTTAAAGCAAAATGTTAGAAACAACTTTTTAACACGTTCAGTTAATTTGAAGCAACATGCTAAATATACAAAAATATGTTAAACTGAGAGACTTCTGGTTTTATTAAAACTTTTTTCCAATGTAGTGATTGGTGCGATATTTTAAATTCGACCTCGGTAAAAGAATTTGTGTATTTTAGGGCTTTCACTTTTGAAAAAAGTATCACTTTATAGTTAAAAGAAGAGGTACATAATTTATAATTCTTTAAGTCTTCCCAGCGCGTCTGTATAATCTAATAAGGCTTAGCAACATTAACATTTAGAAGAATTCTCAAGAGTGATACTGGTGAAACGTATTCGCCTGTGGCCAAAACCCTCTCAATGCAGCTGTGTACGCAACAGTCTTGTACAGTTTTAAAAAATAAAGTACTGTACCTTGGAGAACAAAAAGCGTACAAGCGCTCATCACGTTTCGGCTGATCGGAGTCCAGATCTCCGAGGACTTGATCTGGCACGAGCACATCTCGTCAATAGCGGCAGCTGCTGGGAAAAAGCTAGGCTCGGCGATCTAGCTCTCTTCTACCGCTACACCCACGGGCTTTGCTCCTCAGAGCTCTCTTCCATGATGCCGCCGCGCGATGGGCCTGCCAGACAGACACGCCTGACTTTGGCCACCCACCCTAACCGTGTCGAACTTCGTACATCCAGAACTGGCCGATACGCCCGCTCCTTTGTCCCGAGGGTGTCGAGATTGTGGAACAATCTACAAGAGGAAGCTTCTTCCAGTTCCACTAACCTTAGGTAGTTCAAAAATCGGATTAACCAAATTTCCTCATAGCAGCCGCGGTGTCCCGGCAATTAGGCTTCTGCCTGCGCGGCTGCTTCGGTATAAAAAAATGAGTTTCCTGGATACGTGAATGTTCCAGAGTTGAAAATTTCATAGTGATAGTTTGAATTAAATGGTTGATTAGTAAGAAATATGTTAGAGCACAAGATATAAGACTATTTCGATTTTGTGGCACGCAACTGTCACTCCAAAGAATTAAGCATTTTAAAGCTTTGTTTTCTGCAAAAACCACTTTTAAAATTTTAATCAAAGCACTAGTTATGTAATTGTCAGCTCTACTTGTTTTGTACTTGACAATATTGCCGTTAAATTATAAACATTAAGTTTGCTTTTGTAATAGAAATGGCTAATTTCTGCTGGGACACTGCAGAACATTTTGTGGATCAAATACCAAAAATGGACTATGTTGGTATTCTCTGTCTCTTTCTTTATCATTTCTTGTTGCAGTTTTTGCTTTTACATGGTTCTCATATTCGATAGCCTTTTCTGCACGTTTTTCTTAATTTTGACTCTTCACAGTCGTCACACCTACCATTTTTGGAACATGGTAGTATAAATTGTACTCTGTTAAAAATATTTTTCTATAAAAAGACTCTTTTCCAGCATTCTTATGAGCAGCAGTGCAACTTTGAACATAGAGCCTGCACATTTGCTTTTTACTAAGGGTAGAATCTAGGTACTCCGCCATTTACAAGGGTTCAGCTGCTTCAAAACTGACACTCCATTTTTCTATTTTTTTGAATGAAATTCATACAGTATGTTGAGAAGATAATTTCCCAGGGCGCTGTAGGAGCACTTTTTGAAATTTTGTTTTTGCACAAGTTTTATGATGGGTTGAAGTGCGCACTTTCACTGTTCAACTTCGCGATTTTTTTAAAAAGAACCTAGTGAAAAAAGTGAAAAAGTGGCTCTATAGCACCCTGTGGGGTTTTGTTTTCAGCACTCTGTGAAAATTTTATCCAAAAATATCAAAAAATAAAGCGTCAATTTTGAAGCGCGCAAACCTCTACAAATCGTATTTTGGACGAATTTTGTCTACTGTTTCGTGCTGCCAAGCCAAGCGTTGCGGCGCAATGTACGGACTAAGAAAGGACGTATTCAGATAATTTGGTGGCCCTATTTCATATAATATCGCGTAGATAAGTCGTTCTGCAAATAGGTACTCATAATCGCGATCGCTGATACTCCTCGATTTTAAAGCCGTTTTACTTCCCACGTCATTGGCGAGGAAGTATTGTATTCGCGAAAAATTTCTAAAATGAGATGTTATGTTTTTTTAAGTCATATGACATCTACATCACGAAAAACTGTATCACTCATCATCAACTTGGAAATTACCGCTCGGATTTTTATGAAATTTCCACACGCGGTTACTAGCATGCCAAAAAGCTTTGTAGTTTTAGTCCAGTGGCAACGGTGCTATAGGCAAAAAAGAAAAAGTAACAATTGCTGATACTCCGTTTTTGACGTTTCAGGAGTTCCTAATCATTAACATAAAAAAAATGAACTGCTTAAAAAGGGGGGGTTGAAATCAGTGAAACACGTTCTATTACTAAGTAGCTTCTGATCGCAGTGATTACAGGAAATTTAAGTATCGAAAATCCGACGAATAATGTGCTCACGATTTCAAAAAATCGGTACCTGCTCTATAGGTTTGACACCAACAGCCAACAGATCTGCAACTACCGACATTAGGGAAGAATAAATTCGGATATCACTCCAGTCAAGTATAGGGAAATTTAGCGTGGAACTTTAAAAGTATCGATATGTCAAGGAAATACTAATGTTTTTGAGAACGATCATTTGGTAGATTTTATACCTGCATTTTCATTTGAATTTCATAACCCGTGAAATGTACCCATTTTGCCGTTACCTTTTGTGTTCTGCAGATTTTGATGTTTTTCTGGATATAAGCAGGCCATAATTACAAAATTTTGTCTTTGCGCAAGAATTCTGGTGTGTTGAAAGGCTCACTATTTGTGCTCAACTTGTTGATATTTTAAAAAGATCCTAGTGGATAAAATCGAAAAAGTGGATTGCTGGCACCCTGTGGACTTTGTTTTTAGCACGCTGCGAGAGTTTTATTTGGAAATAATAAAAAGTAAACTTCATCTACTGTTTCGTCCTGCCAGTCCAAGCGACGCGACGGTGCGTCCCGACTAAGAAAAAATGTATTCAAATAATCTTATATCTTTCCTAAAATAAATTCAAGAACTCAAATTCTAATTCGTTTATTCATGTCAATAAACACAATTATGTTTACAAGGGTCGTGTGGTAGATGGTAAAAATTGAACGAGTGTCATAAAAATATCTTATGCCGTCAGAATAAGAGGAAACAGTTAGGTAGTTTTTGCAAACCACAAGATTGAACTGCCGTGTCCAATGATTTTTGTATTGCCTTTTTTTATTGCCTTACTAGAAAACTCTGTTGGGTATATGATCGAGTTTACTAGAACTTTACAGCTTGTTGTCTGCCTGCTTCTACAAACTTCACCAAATCGAGACGCTATCAACCTTATCCTCCGATGAAGACGCCACAAAGCACAGTCCTGTGATTGGGTGACTTGTTCGATGTGCAAGATCTCGTCGTCACTTTTTCTAAGTTTCCCTAAAAAAAAAATTTTTTTTACAGAATTCGCCATAAAACTATTATATATTTTCTTTGGAATTGCTATCCGAATTGTTAGTTATTTTTATATCAATTTTTTTTGGTCTGAGTTTCTTTCCAAGATTCTTGCGTTTGAGTCTTTGTTCCATCTTAGTGATAAGCGAGGTTGGACTAAGCTTAGAACGCAAATGTATTTGGACCACATAGACAGGCCGCTCGGTATTGTGGCTCACTACAGCTGCAGCACATCTTCCATGGTATAACCTCTTCTTGCAATAATTTATTCGCTTACCCCAATGTATTTTGCGATTATAGAGTGGAACTGCTCCACACTATTGTTGTCCTCATCATGAATTAAACTCACTAAATTCGTAATTAAAATTGTCGCATATGACCTTTTATTGTCCATTATCAACCTTGATAAAAAATTCACTCAAGAACAATCACACCAACAAGAGTACAACACAACAATTCAACAACACAATATCGACGAACAGTAACAAGGGTAGAACAATACTAAATGATCACTAGCTGAGTACCAAAATAGGAAACGATTACAGGCTAGATCGCTAATCGAAATCCGACTCTGTTATTATAAAAATTTACCTGGGTAGGCACCCGCAGTCATCCTTTCCTCTTTTAAAGTAGCGCCGACCACCGTCTAAGACCACCCCACAATCGTTTCCTTTTCACCCCCCCGTTACCTCAGCAGATGGTGCTCGTGATTGTAGGAGCCGCGTTAACTCTGGAATAATGCAACTCGATGCGAAAGATTCCAGTTCCAGTACAACAGCGATGAATGTAGCGTTCATGAAAAATCTGTTTTGTTACTGCTATCACAAAGTTGTATGTATTACATGCCACTTTGTAATTCCAAGATAATCCACTTATAATCCAGATACAACTGTGTATTTCTGATAATATAAATTTAAGGATGTGAGATAGAACTTTGAAACTCTATATGGTCAAAGTCTAATGCTGTAAACTGAAAATACAGAAAAATGCGACATACAACAGTGTAACTCTAGGGTGACGATATGTTGATTTTATCTGACCCCCGTGTCACTCTGGCGTGTTATTTTTGAGACACCCTGTATATATAAATCACCAAACTAGTTATAGATGTTCATAAAATGAACTAAAAACATTTGTTTTCAGATTGGAAATATTTAAGCGATAATGTTCCTCAATCTCAGGTTTTCAAATAAGAACGTGTTACGTTTTGACAGCAGGATGGAAAAAAGTGTAACACGCTTTTATTTGAAAACTTACGTTAAAATATTTTCAGATGTTTAGTTCACTTTATGAAAAGCTTGGTTTTGAAAATGTATTTTTTGTTTCACTTATTGATGGTACAAACAGGCAGGTTTTATCATACATTATATCAATACACGTGAGGTGTATGGCATTCACAATATCAATATATCTGACGCGTTCAAGTATTTCTATGTAATTATTTTTTTCCACACTAAAAGCCTAAACAGCATATATTTTTTTTTCTTTCTGCGATCTAATCTTTAAAGCTCAACACATTTAGCTTCTTAGTTCACCACTGTTATAATGTACTGACTCAGACTCATATCAACTTGCTTCTACTAACAGCATCATCAGCAATTCTTAGCATACATCTGACGAAGTGGAAACCAATGGATCTGTAGTTATTGTTCCACGAAACGCCGACTTGATTGTACAAAAATAAATGGTCCAGCAGTTATTGACGTTATTTACTAGTTGTTTTGGGGGTTAAATCTTCATTATAAACAAGGTGAGTTTTAGAGTGTAGTCGGTCGTTAGCGCAGTTATTTTTAAAGGTATATACTAGTGTTATCGTGGTTTTTGTGGTCACGGTCACGTCATCGAGTGATATGCGAAATAAGCAAATCGGCTAACTGAACCATATGCAGAGCTGAAACTCTATATGAAACTTGCACATTCCGCAAATCGATCTTATTCAATCAATATTGTCCGTTAGTTGTATTTTCAGATCAATAAAAGGTAAATTCAAGGGTCGTCATACTTTCAGTGACAAGTATAGATTAATTAATTAATGAAGCTTAAGAACGTAATACGAGTTCCCGTATCTTGCGGATCTTTATCGAAAATTTTAACTCACAAATTTCTATTTCACGGGCTTCAGCTTGAACAACCTATCTTTGTCTTGACATAGCGAGTGACACTAGGTATACTAAAATTTTATAAAATCGCAATGGTGGATTTTAATCGCAAACTTTAACTTTGAAATTACCATTTCACGGGGTATTGCCCAAACGACTTCATGGATTTAGACATTCGAGGTGCCTTAGATTCGGCTTGACGGCACAATGAAATCTTCATTTTTCACTCTTTTCAGTTACTGCAGTCGGATTCTTTGTATTTTTTAAAAATGTACAAATTGTTTAAAAATGTAGTTCTTTAGTACATTTGACAGGTCTCTTCAAAGAAAAATGTTTGATCATATCATCGAGTTTTCTTCGGTACTTCTGGAGCTATATGGGATATTTTTTCCGCAAAAATAGAAACAACAGTTTGCAAGTCAGACAGTTTTGCAGATAGAGCAATAAGTTTTTCGTCAAACAGAGCTTCTTATCCTAACACCCTGTTCTTACAGTCCACGTCGTCTTTCTGTCTAGAAATGCTGCTACAGATTTTTGAATCGCTTTGCATAGCTCAAGAACTGTTTTTTCCGGATATCTAAAAATCCGCCCCCACCATTCTCTCTGCACCCACCATAATAGAAAATGGGTCCCAGTAGATTTGTTTAAAAAATCAGTAGGTATGATTACATCCTAGACACATGTGGTTTTTGATAAACTGTCGACGAGATTAGAGTCCGTTATACTTCGAAAAAGTTGACCCAAACGGTTCGATATGCTCGGAGCAGACAGGAATAAAAAAATTCAAATTAATAGACCATAAATTACAATACCCTGAAACTATAATCATGTTAGTGCGTTTTTTCTTTCTCTTTCGCCTTAAAAATCATCATGACCTTAAATTGACCTTGTAAAGGTCATAATCAAAGAGACTTAACAGTCACGACTTTTCCGTGCCCAGCGAATTGTCTTTTTGAGTGAATATTAATATTAATATTATATATATATATATATATATATATATATATATGCGATTCATAGTTATTGTCGATAATAACTAGTTAAATGAAAGACTTGTCTTTCCTTTTCTTAATTTGTCAATATCCTCAAAGACAAGTCTTTCATTTATATATATACGAGCAGTGGTCATTACCATTGCCAACGACCAGTTGAGCAAGAAATGCAATTGATTATTAATTGGGAAATTGGCAAAATTGTAGGGTTTAGCAAACTCTTTTAACGGTAATCTCGAGCTTTCAGCACGCTAGGGTGCCATCATCAGGAGTCGTCGCTGATTTTGTAGCCTAATGGTTTAAGATTAGGATGTTTCATACAGTTGAAAATACTACTAGTTCCACTTGCATATAATATCTTTAAAAAATCAGAATTATTACTATAACTTGAAATTTAAGGAAGATATGACATTTTATCTGTTGGGTACTGTCTGCTGTAGCCGACCGCCGCCGCTTGTCGAGGTTGGGTCCTGACGTCACATGACGTAAGTGCGGCTTCCGGGCCACGGCGCTGACACGGCCCGACGACGTGACGGCCCTTGCATACTGCATTCATCCTTACTACTCAAACAGATCTGTCCCAATATATTGTTTGTATCTTGGCATATACTGCTGTGCGATATTATAGATATACGCCAAATTAAATGGAAGATTTTCTGCGAACCAATAATTCCACTAATCTCCAGAGGTGAGCTTAACAATGGCTAATGTTTAAATATACTCTGCTTTGGCATACATCAACATTTATAATTAAGCCCACACGTAATTGATGCCACAGTGGTTCAAAAGTCCAAAATATATGGCCAGAATTAGAAATATTCGCTAAATTTTACAGAAAAACCATCCTACGTTTTCCAGGACTTTGATAATGAATGTGATATCCATTTGTCATTGATCAAAATGACCCGTATAATATCGGTTACATCTTTGCAAAAAAATATTTTGATTGAGCTCAAATTGAAGTTTTAGATGTTTTCAGGCTCGCTTATAACGAACTTGATACCGATTGTTCAAAAATCGAAATAGCTGTTCTAGTATGGCGTTTGCAAGAAAAATTGTTTTGATCCCGCTTAAAATAAGGTTTCAAGTGTTTTTAAAATCGCTAATAACGAATTAAATATAGGTTCTTATAAATCTATATGGTGGGTCCTGTCTGACGGCTATGTTTGCAAAGCATTTGCCGATTGCGCTCAAATTACAGTTTCATATTTTTATTTATGTAATAACAATATGGTATAATTTCCAAAGTTGCCGTGAATGGCGCCCAAAATTGACATATTTCTTAACTGAATGTCTGATAAGCCTCCTACGATTCGAACTAGCGCCGACCCAAATAATATTTTAAACTCTTCTTGAATTCCATAATTCACTATAAATTAAAGAAAAAATATCATTTATTTGTTTATTCATTATTTATTTACATATTTTTGTCATATAATGTCACGTGTCGATTGGCAATTAATACAATACCATATCATAATAACTATATATACCATCGATTCCGCTGTCCATTTTGCCACATCTCAAAACAGCTAACTATTTTAAAACGTGGCACTATTTGACTACACAAATATTTTACACCATAGCAATATTCACATTATCTCGAAATAAAGCAGTAAGGATAACTACCCCCGTTCTCGTTTATACCAATTAGGTGATTTATGCATCATAATAGACATATAAACTAATATTTATTTTGATAATGTTTACCTTCTAATATTAAAATTAGAATTACAGTAATAGAATATTTCGGAAAGAGGGAATTTTATCGTCCATCTTCATTACCCTAATTCATAGATATACGTTTTGGCACAGGTAAAAATGTTTTTCTGAATCTGATATGCCTATATTTGTACACATACAGTATTTGTAAAACTTCAAGCAAATTACTCATATATATTATGCTTCAGATGAAAAAAAAACTCGAAATTGGTTACAACTTCTAAGGAGGGCTATAGTTATTTTCACTTTGATATAATTGTAAATACACAATATATTTTTAAATCTGAATCAAAATTTGTTAAACGTAGTTCTCAGATGTTCAAGTTTAATGAGTCCGAGTAACGGAGGGATGGCAATGCAAGAGAAAGGTTTGTTATTTGTACAATATGATAACATTTTTGAAATCAAATATTAACCATTTACAATTAATTTATAGATGTTTTCTAAGGTGTAATATGTTTGTGAAGTTGCCAAAGTTGTAACATGTTTTTCAAGGTATATCCAAATCACAAGACACTATCACTATCGGATACCTTGATAGCCGCTCTGGTATAAAAATGTCAACAGCAAGACGCTCGACTTGGCATGACGTAACGATTTCTGATTGGTGTTTCGTGTCCAGTGACTACATTTCTTTTAATTTTATCCATTTTATCCATCTGATGTATTTCTAGTGGATATAAGAATATGCTCCTAATAAGACTAACTTCTAGGTAGCGTAACTTTGTCATTTTTCAGGATATTAAAAAAAATTGTGTTGTAGTCATTTTAAGTGTGTTTCAAAAAACAGGAAACTTCCTCATTCTCCGAGTATTTGATCGGAGAACTACAGGCCGGCACATTCATCATTTTCATAGGATTGCTTTTGTTCCATGAGAACTCTTGTTCAGGAAAGCGAGGACTATACAGGTGACTTTGAAGTTGGAGTCATTAATTTTCAGATAATGATTGTAGAAGGAAGATAAACCAAAATATGGTGTAAAAATAAAAAAAAAATGAAAAAAAAATTTTACCTTGTTTTATAAAGTATCCTCCCGACAAGTATTTCAGTGCGGACCTGTATTTGATCGTGAGTTCCCCTGTGAGGTCTTAAGTCACCTGATTCACGAGCCCGTTGTACTACATTACAAAGGCACGAGGGGTTGGTTGCACTCGATTGGGAAACCGACCGCATAAACATGTGCCATTTTTTATTTCGTTTGAGCCACGAAACAGACACTATTCACACGCGACTGAAACTGACTGTATGTATAACTGAACTGAATTGTAATCGTAAAAACATCGTTCCAAATTCTTTCGCTTTTTTGTTTCCGATGCGATGAACCGTTGTTGCCAAACACGAACACATGATATTATTGAGACAGGGCGGTACTCAAACTTCCAAAGGGCTATAACTTTGTTACTTTAATTTTACCAGAAAAATGGTAAAGGAAAAAAACATTTCTTTTGATCAGATCTACACACTGTTAAAATAAATGACTCAACTTCGAAGTCACCCTGTATAATTGCTCAATTTATAGACAAATCCGCTGGGACCTTTTTTCCATATGTTTTATGTGGGTTCTTTCGTGGAAACTCCGGCAGGGTATTACGTATCTTAAAAGTGACGTTGTGTCGGTTTTTGACATTATTTAGGTTTTTGTGACTTTATGTAGGTTTTTCCTCAAAATGTCAACTTAGAACAGCTAAACTTGATGTGCACTTGTTCTGTAGCTGTACGTGTTGCCTAAACGTCATGACCCTTCAGATATCAATGTTTGACTCTGCTTCAGAGATGGCATTATTGGAAGTTTAAGCTGCAAGTTTCATACTGGAAGGAAACGGCAGTGCATAGTTGCATGGTGAGGATTTGTGTGCTAATAATCTGTGTTGATGATAATTCCATTTATTTCCTGGGTCAAATACACTTACTTGTAATGTATGCGAAGCTAGAAATTAGTTGCGCATTCACTTTTTCTTATTCATCCTGGAAATTACATAAATTTGCAAATTTGCCGAATTTCAAAAATGACAGAGATAAGAAAAGAAAATCCCTGGTTGGTGAAGTATACGGTGAGGTTACAAAATTTAGCTGATATCGTAATGTCTCTTTTAACACACGTATTGCACGCTTCTCGTGCTTCTCTTTCGTACACATTACGCTGTCAGTGGTATTTGGTTTTCAGTGTATATTTTACAACCAACTGGTGAGAAAATATGGCACAGACAGAATATAAACGTGAAAAGGTTATTACATTTTACATTATTTTTTTATTTACAGTCATTTAAATTCTATAGAAATTTATTTTGCGATCTCAAGAAAATACAAATCAGTGCGTGGATGTGAGGCACTGACAAAATGTTTTGTGTGTGATGCGTCGTTCGTAATTTTTCTAAGATGTGGCTTAATTAAACACAACGCGGGCGCGGTGGTGATTTCCCGTAATGCAAAACGCAAAAAACCTGGGGAAATCGTAATATATAAGTTTGAACATCCCCTTTTCAGAAAGGACAACACAAATAACCCGTCTGGTACAGGTCATGGTCAGCATATTTAGTAATAATTTTCTCACATAGCAATTTTCTTTGTCAGATTTGCTCAGAGATATGATCTACAGACTATCTCGGCATTCCGCAACCAACGAAGCATGCTGGGGAACTAACTTTTAGCTGATTATTGAGTGTCTCGTTGAGTCATTTCTCCATAGAACACGCTCATATCGAGCAATTGCGAAATGAACTATTAATGAACTATTTGCACACTAGGAAACATCTAGTCAGCAAGTTTTTTGAAATTACATAGGTTTTTTCACGTATTTACCCTGGAGGTCTTGGAGACTGGAATTCCCCGGGCTGTTCTCTAGTAAATATGGCATTAAATTCAAGGACTTACACTACCCTTACTGTGGTGCCTCGTGGTGAATGAACTCCTCGTTAGGCTAAGCAGTGCGGGTGTCTACGTGCAAGCATATGCTGATGATGTAAGCATAGTAGTTAGAGGTCGTTTTTGTGGAACAGTCTCTGAAATTATGCAAAGCGCTTTGCGCGCTGTGGAATCATGGTGTAGGAAGTAGATCTTTCTGTCAACGCTGGAAAGACCGAGCTGATCCTATTCACCAGGAGTAGAAGGCTCAGCGGGCTTCTCTTGCCGACCTTCTTTGGGACTAGATTAGTTCTATCCCAGTCAGTAAAATATCTAGGAATAGTGCGTCCATCTCTCTTGTACGGCTCCTTGGTTTGGTTGCCTTGCATTGGAACTGAGACGAATAAGGCCAAATTCAATAAAATTCAGCGATTGGCCTGTATCAGCATTACAAGCGCAGTGCGGACAACGCCATTGAGTGCAATGAATCTCTGTTGGATCTCCCGCTGTTGAATCTAGTGATCCGCGGAAAGGCGAGAGTAGTCGCACATCGACTGTGGAGTCAGGGCAGCTGGGCCTTCTTGAATCCCGTCAAGGGTCATACTGCCATCCTGGTCGAACTGCAGGGGCGATGAGATCACCCGCAAGTATCGCTTCAACCGCATGTTTAATGTAGAGTATCCAACGAGGGAGGAGTGGGACGCCGGCTACCGGAGGATCACCGGAGTGAGTGGGCAAGTCTGGTACACGGACGGCTAGGTCACCGAAGAGGGCTCTGGCGCCGGGGTCTCGGGGCCTAGGACTAGGCTGTATCTGCGTCTTGGTGGATACACTACGATTTTCCAAGCGGAAATCGTTGCGATTCTGGCTTGTGTATCCCTCATTTTGGAGAGGGGTGGGCCTAGGAGAAGGATAACAATCTTCTCCGAGAGCCAGGCTGCAATGAATGCACTAAGTGCCTATAAGATTACTTCGAGCCTTGTATTGCAATGCAGGGAGGCTCTGGATTGTCTAGCAGCGTGGCATCCGCTGAGACGGCGGACACTCTGGCGAAGACAAGATCAGCCAGCAAGCTCGTTGGTCCTGAGCCAGCTTTAGGAGTGCCCGCGCTAAGAGTTAGGAGGAAAACGGAGAAGTGGATTGCAAGACAACACTCTCAGAAATGGAGAAGCATCTCCAGACATCTACGTCAGGCACGGGAACTCATTGCAGGGCCCAATGCTAAGGATGGACGTTTCTGCTTATCTTTGGATAGAGCCAACCTAAGGTTGCTAGTGGGACTGTTGTCTGGCCATGACATATTAAGGCGCCACCTGCACGTGATGGGGGTGGCTGAGGATCCCTTGTGTGAGCGCTGCGGGGTAGAAGATGATACCTCGGTGCACGTTCTGTGTCGCTGCGAGGCTCTTAGCTACTGCAGGCAGACTATAGACTATAAACTCAAGGCCATACTCAACTTCGCTAGAATGGCGAGACTTGAGGTCTAAGAAATGTGGAGGTGCAAAAGGGCCCGTCTGAGTGGCCTATGCGCTGGCTTCTTATGGTGGCCGGTACGCCTCTAATTTAGTGTTTTCATACATTCATTCATTACACTATCATAACTCATAAACATCTAGGTTTTAACGTTGTGAAACTTTGTATAACAAAATGTACTATTTAATTCAATGTTTCCAGTTAACATGGCTACACAGTTGTTAGCTCTGGGTCCAGATCCAGCACCGTTCACCTGTCCACACTGTAATGCCAATGTGATAACGACTGTCAAAGCGGCTGCAAATACGAAAACGCACTTACTCGCCTTCATCCTATGCATTTCTCTGTAAGTATCTTATCATTATAAGTCACCATAAAGATACGCGAGTTGTGTACGTGTATTATCCATAGCCTGATCGTAATTAACGAACTTTTGCAAGCCAGCCACTTCACCGTGCTATAAAATAATTATGTGTTTAGAATCTTTAGAATCTCCTAAATCTCCCAAATTTTCGATATTGTTAAAAATTGAAAAATTTTTGGAAATTTTGAAAATTTTTATTATTTAGAAAGTCGTGAAAATTTCGAAAATTTTAAATCAACATGTATGCAAAGAAATGTTTCAGTTGCTTTCATTTTCGAGTGCATATGTTTTCAAGGTCGTTGGTAACGAATTTGACAATGATTTTCTACGATGCATAACTGTCAAAGCTGCAGTTAGTCGTTGCCAAAATTGACATATTTCTCAACTGTAGTAACAAGTAATACAATGCCATGTCATAATTATACATAACTTTGACTCTGCAATCCATCTTGCCACAACTGAATACAGCTGGTTATTTTAAAACGTGGAAATATTCGAATAGTCTTTTTCACGAGTATCGATTACGTCAAACGTGACAGCAAATAACAACAACAATGCTGACGGATCTGTCAACGCTAGATCTGTAAACAGTAGTATTTTATTGTGATGTTGTGTGTATGCTATAGGTTCATGCTTCTAAGCAACGCTTTTATTTAGAAAATCACCTTCGCATACAGGAAACAACACTACAAGCAAAATAGCTGCTAATTATCATGACTATTTTAAGTCACCTAGGAATAAAACAAGACAAACAGCTTTTGAGTATGTTTTGGTATAAACAGCTCTGAACCATTACGTTTTGACGTCTGCTGAGGCGAACAGCTGACCAGCGAGTGATCTTTCTATTAAAGCCTTTGGTGGCAATAATGAATCGGGTATGAATCGAGTTCAGAACTGCTTATGCCAAACGTAGTCAAAAGCTTTTAACAGGATTTATCCATCCTAAGGCAACTATACTAATCTTAACAAAAAAGTAACAGGTCATTGCAAATTGCGTCACTACATGAGCAGGCTGGTGATGGTGGAAGATGCTGAGTGCAGACTGTGCATGCAGTGAAATTAAACGGTTAGGCATGTTTTGTGTAGATGGCCTGCAATTGCCAGATTCAGATACACACTTAGGAGAGTAGTGCTCCAGGTGGAAGACCTGAAGGATATTACTCCTAATAAGCTGATCGAGTTCCTTGGTAGGTTGTAGTTATTGGGAGAAATAGGTGTAAGCCGCAATAGATCAGTGAGTCGCAGTGGAGGATCGCGATTGACCCACTCACAAAAAACCTAACCTAGTGAAAAATTTATTTTATTCTTACGTGACTTGAAATATAGCAATGATCATTAGCAGCCATTTTACTGGTAGCGTTTTTTCTAGTGTGCGAAGGTACTTTTGTAAATAGAAGCATTGTTATTAAGTATAAATCCGTAGCGTACAAAAGACCACAATAAAATGTACAACAACACTGTCTAACGTTGACAAATCTGTCAGTATTGTGTGTCACTAGATGATTTGGGGTATTTTGTAGTGTTTCCAGATAATCAGTTGTTATTTGTATACTTGTGAAAAAGACTCCATTATTAATTATCTATTGTTAACGAGTGACATTTTACTAAAGTATATTTAGCACCGTATCATTATTTTCGATACTAAATCTATTTCATATTTACATCACCCTGTACTCCTACTATTCCACTTTGCGTATATTTTATGAGATAAAAGATTAAAGACTACGTGACGAGCGATATATTTGATCAATGATAAACAGATTACTATCTAGCTCTGCCAGGAATAATTCACATTATCTCAATTTTTTATTTTTACAGATGTATACCTTGCGTGTGTATTCCATATTGCTGTAACTCCTGCCAGACTTTGCAACATTACTGTCCAAACTGCAAGGCATACTTGGGGGCGTATGTTAACTGAAACTGTATTTTTTATATTTTTGAGTTTTTTTGTTGTTGTACTTATACTGGGCGATTAATGTTTAACCTTACCAGTATGGTTATACATCAAATATTTATATAAATACTCGTTGCTTTACTGTCAACCTACTCCCAATTTTGTTATCTAGACAAGGTACTTACGTTGTATCGCAATAACTCTTCACAGAGTACCGTGGATTAGTTGTGGCCAAAATTGTGGAGATTGTGCATGTTTTTTACTCATTTGCCTGCCAATCAATGCTTACCAAAGTGACAGCGTTGTATCAACATGAGGTAAATACTTAACGATGGAAACATCTACCTTCATTAGGCTTGTGCTGATCGTTGCAAATTATGTAAGAAGTACCATAGCTTGAAATCGTCTAACACCTTAATTCTGTAAGCACTCGTACTTTTAAAATATAACTCTAACGGCCGTATCGTCAGTCGCTCCTATTGTGAAATTAAAATTTTGTTTGTGACATAACCTCAAAATAGGCGGTAAAGGTAGAAAACTATGACTAGGCTATCAATTCTACAATTTATAGGACGCCTTTATGGTCTCCTTGACATTCATAGTTTTCTACTTTTCAGTGTCAGCGCTCTATTTTGAGGTTATCTATTTGCATCAAAATGTTCATGCTTTTGATTTATATCATGTTTTATCAACCTGAAATTTCCTACAATTCCAAAAAAACATAACTTCACAAAAGGAGAGCGCTGGCGCTGATACGGAGCAGGTACAATCTAGAAATTTTTGAAGGTAACAACTAAGTTGTGCTAAGGTTCTTTCGTCAAATTTTAGCTTTTTGATAGATCTCGCATTTTTTAATAAAATGTTTGACATCTTCTGTTGGACCAGGACAATTGTAACGTTCTCGGATTCGTATTATAGTTTCATTAATGCCACTGTGGATATTTTTATTTCCACAATGATTACGGGAATTTTATCTGAAGTGGGGGCTTTGGTAATATTTTGGAAAATAACCGGCTTAATTTTGTCATCGGAAAATCTGAGGGAAAATATTTCCAGAACGGGCAAGTCTACATTGTTTTCAACATAGATTTGCTGAGACAAATCAAAGACATTTTATTTAAAACAACAGTGAAAATATGCTGAATGCGAGTCGTAAGATCGTACGGTACGGGAATGATAAAATATTTTCTATCTTTAAGTTTTTTGCTTGATGCAATATTAATTTTGTCAGCAGAAAACTCAAGGTTTTTCTCAATAATACATCTTCTATGATCTTTTCATGAAGATCAGAAAGAGAATTTTGCGTAAAGAATGTAACTATATGCTTATGGCTCATGTCCAAAAGCTAGGAATTGGAAAATTTAATTTTTGAATACTCAGTCAGAGATGTGGTCTTAAAAGTCGGGCAAAAATGTCAAATTCGGATTTAGAAAATTGAGATGAAGGTTCTCCTTAGTCATCATCTTGGGTAAGGGCATTAATACTGGTGGGTATTTTTTCGCACAAATGCGCTTGCGTCTGTAGTAAGCACAAACGGTTCTTCGAAGTTGGGATAAATTAAAATGAGAGATGTAATGAGAGCATTTTTCAGACTATCGAATGACTGCAAGCATTCTTTATCAATGACAAACGTTGCGTTTTTCTGTAATAGTCTAGTCAGGGGTTTCGCAATTTTTGCACAATTCGGAATGAACCGTCAGTAATAACCGGTTAGACCTAAAAAGTTGATTCGAGCACATCCTATTTTCTGCTCGAATCCACTTTCCTTCTTTTTGCGGAATTTGCCCATTATTTTCCTATTTTTTGTTATATACCTTTCTCCGCATGATCATTTTCTATTTGTAGATCCTTTGGGCTTGAAGTACCACAGCAAGTGGCTATAACTGGCCGCGTGGTTGAAGTTAGATGTTGCCTTGAAAATTCTATGTCTTCTAGCCATTTTATACTACAATGTGCAGGTTGGCTCTTGTGTGGGCTTCGTGTGTGATTTTTCCCTCTTCATCTTCGTGTACTCAGGTTACACCCGTATCCGGATGTACCGGCATGAGTATCTACTTTTGTAGTTGCATATGTGCATTCATTTCGGGCCTGATGAAGCCAACCAGCAGAAATACGTATCGCTCGGGTTACCTATCCTATTTGCTGCTCTAATCCACTTACCTTCTTTTTGCGGAATTTTCCCATTATTTTCCTATTTTTTGTTATCCAGCAAGATCATATTATCTCTCTCTATGTCTCTCTCTCTCTCTCTCTATATATATATACAGGGTGGAGTATCGAAAACGAAACAGACGCATTTACTGACAGCTCAGTTTTGTTTTGGAAAAACGCTCAGACCCGTGATTTTGTTTCCGAGGAGGACACAAGTTTGGCAGGAAATCACGCTAACACGTGCAGCCCCCTGGGCGGGGGTGACACCAACCTTAAAATCTTAAATGGAAAGGGGGGTCAAGTCATACCTTATTTTAAAGGTCTTTCAATTCCCTTTACAATGATATAAAATTAATGTACTTCAGTTCAGTAGTTTTGAAGATTTATTGATTTAAAGCTTAAAGTAGGATTTAATAGGTACATCAGATTAGTTTGTACTACTTTCAGAAGAAATTTGACTAAAAGAATTTACTTAATAAGTAAATGCTTTTCTTCACTACGCCCATGGTTTGTTTATCATTTTGTTGTTGAAAATAGCTATTGGAGCGTTTTCTGTGGCAAAAAAGTTGTTTCTTGAAGAAAGATAAGGAAATATCTCGTACTTATTTTAAATAGGAATTTAGTACATAGTTTGCGATTGATTTGACCAAACTTTGTTGCTAAAATAACTTGTAACGCTTTATTACATAAATTAACCATGGTATATTCCACAGCAGAAAGAGTTGAGATTATCGAAATATTTTTCGGAAATAATCAGTGCGCTAATAGAACAGCTGAAATATTTAATGAGAGACATGAGAACAGTAACGTGCATCGAAAATATGTTCTAGAACTTGTAGCTAAATGTTGGGAAACTGGGTCAGTCGCCAATAAAAAACGCAACATTGAAAATCCCATAAGGAACGAAGCAATAGAAGTGGGGGTTTTAGGACAAGTTTATGTAGATCTTACGTTAAGTACCCGCAAATTTGAGACTGTTTGTGGTGTTAGTCGACGTACTGCCCAACGGATTCTAAAGGCCCATAGTTTTCATCCGTATAAAATTCACCTGGTACAAGAACTTAATGAAGACGATTTTGATCGGCGATTACAATTTTGCGAAGATATGAGTGAACAAATTATAAACGATGAACATTTTCTATTCAACACTTGCTTTTCCGACGAATGTTCCTTTTTCTTATGGCGTAGTAAATCGGCATAATATTGGTCCGATTCTAATCCCAGAATTTATCATGAGGTTCATACACAGCAGCCACAAAAATTAAATGTTTGAGCTGGTATTTTTGGCGATCATTTACTTGCTCATTTTTTCTTACCTGGAAATTTGACCGGTGAAATGTATTTGGAATTACTGGAAGACGCCATAGATCCTGCATTAACAGCCATATTGAAAATCAGAATGATCGGCGGTACATTGTGAATAGGTTGATGTTCCAACAGGATGGTGCCCCACCACATTACGCATTACGTGTTCGACAATATTTAGATCAGACGTTTCCTGATCGATGGATTGGTAGAACAGGTGACATTGAATGGCCCCCAAGATCGCCAGATATATCACCTTTGGATTTCTTTATGTGTGGTCATTTAAAAAGCAAAATCTTTATTATTGCATGGAGAGTCATGGTGGCCATTTTCAACATTTACTTGCCTAACGGGTCAGTTTATTGTTCATTTTTAAATTACTTTGCTGCCAAATGTATTGATCTCCACTAATGTATTAGTTTTATTTAAGCTTTAAATCAATAAATCTTCAAAACTACTGAACTGAAGTACATTAATTTTATATCATTACAAAGGGAATTGAAAGACCTTTAAGATAAGGTATCACTCGACCCCCCTTTCCATTTAAGATTTTGGGGGTGGTGTTACCCCCGCTTAGGGGGCTGCACGTGCTAACGTGATTTTTTGCCAAACTTGTGTCCCCCTCGAAAACAAAATCGACGGGTCTGGGCGTTTTTCCAAAAAAAAACTGAGCTGCCAGTAAATGTGTGTTTCGTTTTCGATGCGCCACCCTGTATATATATATATATATATATCGATATATACAAACGCAAAATAAAAGCTAACTATCGAGTAGAGAGAACCTTTCAAATGTTTCCCTCGAAAACGGAGCCATACAGACCATCTTCTTCGGCCGTACACGGTGCCACTCTGACCTGCAGCCTCTCGGTTCCCCACTATTATTTGTCGCGTACACATAAGCCGTTATCCGCTGAACTGTGCTCGGCCGATAAAATCAAACACGTAAAATAACAAGAGCGCCTACACCATTTGTCCAACGAACGTACGGAGTAATAAAACAAGTGATTTATTTTCACTGTTTTTTCTACCTTTTCATTACTTTCAAGGTGCAAAAAGGTTTATTACATTGATATATTAAATATGCCGCCACAGTTTATGATTCGTTAACTTTAAATATTTTTTATATTACAAAGATGATTTTAATACATGGGAAAAAATAAAGAAAAGGGCTCAAAAATTAAATTCTTTTTTGGATTGGATTCTGGATCTTTTTAATATAATACCTAATAATGAATCTACCTGCATTCATTCCCACGTTTATTTCGATGGCTCTATCCGGATAGACTTTAAAGTGGATTATCCCAATCATGTGTAATCCTGACCGTTTGTTTCGGCAATCGACAAGTCAAACCAAAACTTATAAGGTCAAAATCTTGGACAGAGTGCTCCTTCGCAATTAGCGGTCAGGATTAACACAGGATTGGGATAACCTACTTGAAGACTATCCGGATAAGGCCGTAGAAATAAACATGGTAATTATATAAGTATGTTTAGGGATATAGGTCCTTAGTCATTATACAGTAAATAAACAAATTACATTTATTAACTTATCGCTAACACGTTCGATTGTTTTTTTCCAATTTTCCGGAGTTACATTTTGTACCGCGGTGTAAAAAGCTGCTTTGCATCTGCGATCTTGAAAGTTGCGTTTTTCCTGGAAACTTCGTTTTTAATTTGCGGCCAAATGAACTCGATTGGGTTAAACTCGCAATGGTAAGGAGGCAGGCATAAAATAGTCCGATTGGTAGATTTAGCCATTTCGTCGATGATATACTTGTCAGCACTTTTATTGTCGTTGACCAGATTTAAAAGTTCTGCTTTGACTATATCGTTGTCAAAGGGAACATTATGCCTTCGTAGCCATTCCTGTATTCCCTATTTTCTGTTTCCACTGTTTGGTGCTTCATCAATACGCCTACCATGGTATGAAACATTGTCCATAACAATGACAGTGTTCTCTTCTAGACAGCTTATAATATTTTTAAACCATTCTTCAAATAAATTGTCATTCATATCGGCGTGGTAGTCTCCTGTTTGTTTTGATTCAAATACCAAAACATAGTCCGTCTTCCACGAAGCAATTATCAGATCCGATGTGTAAGTTAATTAGCCGTTTTCCTTTCTCTAAATGATTTTTTAATCCCGTGGAGAGACCTTCCAGGAAGGCTTGCCGAGGATGCTCAACTGATGAATCCACCCATACTTTGCTAACAGTGTGCCCTGCATTGAGCCAGGTCTCGTCTAGGTAGTATATCTTCCTGCCTTCTTCTCTATACTTCCAGATTTCTCGTAAGTATCTACGTCTCGAACATATATCTCGTCGTTTTCTTTCTAGATGCTATTTGCTTCCTTCCTACAAAACTAAAAATTGCATTAAATCTTTAAATTCGTTAATTCAATGAAACATTTTACAGATTTTTTTAGTTTTGTATTTTACTTTCAAGGAGAAATAAAAAACAAAATAAGTTTCTTGTACAACACTTACCGAAAATTAAGTTCCTTCATAAATGTAGACAAAGTCGATCTTTTGAAGTCTGGCAAGTCGTCGTCGACGTTTATTGATAACAAAATTTTGTCCAATGTGGGTGGTTCGTCTCGGAAGAAAAGTTCGTGGATTTTTCCTTGGACTAATGCCTTAGTTCCTTGTGAAACGTTGTCCAAACCTACTCTGGCTTTATGGAAGCCTTTGGGAGGAGAAAGACTTGCTTCTTTTCTGCTCTGCCAAAATTTTATATACACTGCTACTTGATGCTCCTGAAAACAAATTAATACAATTTGCATATATTATATGTACATGCATTAATAAATAATAAAGGTAATTGAAAGTATGTTCTAAAAATCAAAATGTGTGCAATAGAAGTAGCTATCATATTAGTGGGTAAGATATTTAACAGAAAATAACTATTATTTAGAATAATACATCAAACTTCAAAACATTTTAAATTATACTTCAAAGCTAAATCCTCACCTGATGCTCTTGAAACAAAGGCTACACGTTCTGAGTTTCATTTGGATAGCGTCCCCGAGAAGCTATATAAATATGTGTAATGGTTTCTTTTTCAGAAACCAACAAAGCTCTTTTTGTCCGTTTTATTGGCAATTGGCCCTCGTCTAATAAGGCACTAATGTCGAAATATCCTTTTAAAAGTTGTCTCATAAAAATGAATGAAGCTCTCAAAAAATTGAACCACGCGTCATAGGCCCTCGAAAAAAATTAAAGTGCTGTTGTGAACTTGGTGGCTTATCTACCGAAAACGGACCAATAGGAACGAGGCACGTGCCGGTCAGATGATTTATTACTCCCAGGTTCGTTGGATAAATATAGAATCGTTATCGGCCGTTGACGGTCGGCAACGGCCGATAAACAGCAACGTCCGAACTTGTTCAGATTTTTTGGCAGTGCGCCGTCAATTGCAATAGATTATTGAGCGCCTTAGGTATGGATACTAAAAAACTAATTGTTTCTGTTTATAATAGGCCGCCCAATGTGGGACAAAAACTTAAAAAGTTACATGAATCGAGATATCGGACAACGGCTGTGGGCTGAAGTTGCATTGGAAATGGATATAGCCTTTGCAAGAGTAAAAAAGAATGGAGCAACATAAGAGACTGAAATGGATAATAACACATTCTAAAACATTCGAGGAACTTGGATTGTAATTTTACATCTTCGAAAAGGTGGTGAAATTTACCCAGTTTTTTTCTGTGCATAAGTATTTCATTAACCCACACTCGACGACGTCGGCGAATTAAATGGCGCTACGAATTTTCCTGAAGATACATCTCTTCGAAATCCTCAATTTTAAAAACACGTCTTTAATCTGTATTCAACAATGATGACGGCCGTAGTGTATGCAGACGAACGTCCGGGCAGCTCCGGCCCAACATCGGCCGATAAATCTGTTTTGGTGTACGCGTACTATTAGAATGTTCTGACTCATATTAACTTGGTTCTACTAACAGCGTTATCAGCGATTGTTTGCATATACCTGACGAAGTGTAAACCAATCGATCTGTAGTTATTGCTTCACGAAACGCCGACTTGATTGTACAAAAATAAAAGATCCAGCAGTTATTGACGTTATTTACCATTTGTTTTGGGGGTTGAATCTCCATCATAAACAAGGGGATAGGGTGAGTTTTAGTGTGCAATCGGTCGTTAGCTCAGCTATTTTTAAAGGTATCTATAGATCTTTTCATGATTTTTGCGGTCACCTCATGGTCGGTCGTTAGCTCAGTTATTTTTAAGGTTATATATAAGTCCTATCGCCGTTTTTGTGGTCACGTCATCAGTACCATGCGAAATAGGCAAATGGGCTAACTCGATCGTATTCAATCAATATTATCCGATGTCCAATGTGTCAATAAAAGGTAAACTCAAAGGGTTGTGATACTCACAGTGACACGCATAGATTAGGAATTCTCATACGTTGGAGAGAAACTTTTCAAGGTGCGGTATTGAAGCTAAAGAACGTAATATCTTGCGGATTTTTGTCGACAATTTTAACTTCCAAATTTTTATTTCAAGAGCTTCAGCTCGAATGATTTAGACACTGCGAGTGACATGAGGTATACTAAAATTTTATAAAATCACAATCGCAAACTTCAAGTTTGAAATTACTATTTCACATGCTATTGTCCAAACGACTTGATGGATTTTGACATTCGAGGCATCCTTAAATTTATCTTAACGGCAGAATGAAATCTTCATTCTTCAGTATTTTCAGTTACTGCAGTCGTATTGTTTTTACTAAATAGAAGGTACAAATTGTTTAGAAATGTAGTTCTTTAGTACATTTAAAAGGTTTCCTCAAAGGAGAATGTTTGATCATCTTATAAAGCTTTGTTCGGTATCAATGGAGCAATATGGGTTATTTTCTCCGAAAAAAAAAAATTTTGCAAGTCAGACAGTTTTGCAGATAGAGTAATAAGTTTTTCACAAGTTTCACTTTCATATAATAGTATAACTGGTATCTTTCAAAAATCTGAATTATTCGTATAAGTTGAAATTCAAGGAAGTTATGACATTTTCTCTGTAGGGTGCTGTAGCACCGCCGTCGCTTGTCCTCACATGTCATAACTATGGCTTCTGGGGCCACGGTACTGACACGGCCGAACGACGCGACGGCCCTGGCATACCGCATTCAGCCTTACTACTCAAGCTGATCAGTCGCAATATATAGTTTGTATCTTTGCATATACTGCTGTGCGGTATTATATGTAGATATAGGATGTTAAATGGAAGATTTTCTGCGAACGAATTCCACTAATCTCCCAAAGGTGGGTATAACAATGGCTAATGCGAACCATTTATGCTTTGGCATACATTAACATTTATAACTAAGCCCACCCGCAATCGACGCCACAGTGGTTCAAACACAATCGAACATTTTAAACGAAACATTATTTTTTTTTATTCTTTTCAATATTCCTGATATTAGCATTGTAAAATTTAGATGCAAGATATGTCACGAAACGCAAATTTAAATCTCGCATGGACTGCGGGGCGTTCAGGTTATGAGTGGTGATTGCTCGGGTCTTATAATTGTGGGACACATAATTTGTATTTAATTTCTTATTTGCATGTACAAAACTACATACTGCAAGGATATATAAGATTTTAGTATTGTTTATTTCTTGAGAATAAAACTGCATAGTGGGTAGGTCTTTTAGAATAATCCTTAAAATATGGTTCTGCACAACTTTTAACTGCCAAAGATTTGAACCGTACATCCCACCCCACACAATTATGCCATATACCAAAAGGGCACCACAAGTGCTTTGTACATCCTCAATATTAGTTTAATGTTCAGTATGTTACGAATAGTGTAAAATTTATGGTCCCACTGCCGGTCCCACTTCAAGTGCTTATCGACAACAACCCCCAAATATTTAATTTCATTTACTTCTTTTAAAGGCTCGTCTATATTATCAAGATTAATTTGATTAAATGCTGGTCTGTTAGCCACATGGTTTACATATTTGCAAAAAAATATGAGCTCAAATTGAAGTTTTAGATGTTTTCTAGCTCGCTTATAACGAACGCTATATCGATTATTCAAAAATCGAAATAGCGGTTCTAGTATGACGACTAAGTTTGCAAGAAAAAATGTTTTGAGCGCTCTTAAAATTAGGTTTCAATTGCTTTCGAAATAGCTAATACCGAATTAAATATCGATTCTTAAAAAATCTATCTAGCGGATCCAGTATGACGGCTATGCTCGCAAAAAATTTGTCGCTTGCGCTCAAATTACAGTTTTATATGTTTTCAAGGTATGACCTATAATTATATTAATAATATCGTATAATTGCCAAAGTTGCACCAAAAATTGACATATTTCTTAACTGGATGTCTGATAAACATGCTACTATTCGAAATAGAGCGAACTCCAATGATTTTTTTAAACTCTTCTTGAATTCAATAATGTAGAAGTTTCGTGATATTCAGAATTGCAAAGTAATGTACCAGCAAAATATAGAATAAATACAATTAGCCAGTGAAAAAATTATTGAAATCGGCCAATAAATGACAGAGAAATTGATACTTAAATGTGGCGCATTATAGCGCGAAATCATAGCTGCCGTTCGTTGGCGTCTGACGTCACACTTCTCTAGTGCCCAGCGTCCGTCGCATAGGTGTTCGACAGCATCTGTGCGTTTAGTCATTAGTCTATAGACAATTCATAACGCACACCTGTGCGCTCGGACACTTGGTTTCCACTTGATAACTATTGAGTACTGCGTAAGTTCATACCATTATGGACGCCGCATGTAAACGTGCGTAGAAGAAATGTTTATTAGGGGTTGTAATTATTGTGCTCGTACATTTTGGAACGGTACAGTATTTAAAACAACCTTTTTTCTTATTTCGCTTATAACTGATAGTATATTCAGTCAACTAATTAGACAAATTTGGGGCGGAAGACGTTTAGCCTACCATGTGTCCCACTGTATGTATGCCTATGCATGTGTTTAGGAGATTGAGTCGGCTCGGACCTAGGAATTGGCCGTGGGCGCTGCAACTGGATACTGAAATGTGACGTCACACGTAACGTACAGACGGAATAAAAATATTCTCGTGGGGCGCAAATTTGATGGGCTGTAACTTTTTTTGTTTTTAGAGATAAATTAATAATTAACATCTTGCTTCATTTTTCCTAAACTTTCTTAAGAGCTAATAACAAAAAAAATGGTAAATATCATTTGTTATTTATTTACACATTTTTGTCGTATAGTGTCATGTGTCTGTCGATTGGCAATTAATACAATACTATATCATAATAACTATACATACCATCGACTCCACAATCCATTTTGTCACACCTCAATACAGCTGATTATTTTAAAACGTGACACTATTTGACTATACAAATATTTTGCACTTCGGCTAGGTTTTTTGGTCACTGAACCTATGCACCCCACGTCGACACAGACAAGGAGTATTCCTCCTCTAACATTATCACTATAGCGATATTCACATTATCTCGAAATAAAAGCAATCTTCAAATCTATCCCCGTTCTCGATTATACCAATTAGGTTATTTATGCATCACAATAGGCAGATACACTAATTTATATTTTCATCATTTTTACCATGTTAACTAAATACCTTCTAATATCAGAATTAGAATTACAGTAATAGAACGATATTTCCGAAAGATGAAATTTCATCGTCCATCTTCATTGCCCTAATTCTTATACGTTTTATAATAGGTACAGTACAGTATTTGTAAGTCGATGATCTGGCCCATGTTTACCGTAAATGATAAATACGGGGCAGACCAACATTTGTAAATGGCGAAAACCGTGCGTGGCAGGCGCATCGATTTATGGTGGCGATAAAAGCTGGTGTGATCTGTCATCACTCAGTCACACGCTCCAGCAAGGTAATAGGCTGGTTAACGAAATTTGAAAAAATTGTTTAATTGGAAGAACAAACCTTTTTCCCAAAAAATCAAAATTTTACATTATGTATTTTGCCTTTCCAAAAATAACAATTTGAATATAACTCAAAAACGCTCCAAACAGGCATGGCACCTTCCATGACGTCACGACGTGCCAAGCGAAACGAACCTCACTACCAAACTTGCCGTTGTTCACAATCAGTAGTTGGATTTGTTGGTTTTCTTTACTGAATCCTTCGTAAAGGTTCGGTAATGTGAAAGCACGACTATAAAAACGTCGAACAGTTATTCATATATGTTCCACTATTTACAATTGATTTATAGATATGTTTGTGAAGTTGCCAAAGTAACTTGTTCTTCAATGCATATCCAAATCACTGACACTGTCTCTATCGGATACCTTGATAGCCGCTCTGGTATCAAAATGTCAACAACAAGATGTTCGACTTGGCATGACGTAACGCTTTCTGATTGGTGTTTCGTGTCAAGTGACTACATGGCTATTTCTTTTAATTTTATTTCTTAAATATAGCAATATTCTATAGTTCTTATGATAAATATTGTTTTCTGTTGTCGCCACATCATCATTAATTGTTGGAAACTATCGTCCATCTGATGTTTTTCTAGTGGACATAAGCCGATTCTAATAATAAAATTAACTTCTTAATAGCGTTACTTTGTCATTTTTCAGGTTATCCACTACAGCCGGCACATTTTTGCAATTCGGGCCAACTTCTTCCCCATACTCCCAGAAACTAATCATAAGACTGCTTTTGGTCCAATGAGAACTCTTGTTCAGGAAAGCGAGAATTGCTTAATTTTCAGACAAATCGACTAAGACCCGTTTTTCATTTGTTTTGTGCGGGGTTCTTCGTGGAAATTCCGGCAAGGGATATTACGTAGTTTGAAAAGTGACATTGTGTCGGTTTTTGACATTATTTAGCTTTTTTGTGAATTTATTATTCATTATTATTATTATTTATTATTCATTTATTTTTCGTCAAAATGTTAACTTAGAACAGCTGCACTTGATGTGCACATGTTCTGTAGCTGTACCTGTTGCCTTAACGTCATGACCCTTCATCTGTCAATGTTTGGCTCTGATGTAATGTAATAGCTGCTTTAGAGACATGCATTATTCGGGGTTTAAGCAAACAAGTTATTCAACAAGAACTCTGCGAAATTGATTGTAACTTGTAAGGAGAGCTGTTGCCTATAGTTTATTGACAAACTTAAGAATGTATTTTTGTGAAGATCATTTTAATGCAATTGTAATTACACAATCTATTTTAAAATCTGATGCCAAAGTTATTAAATTTTCTTCTCACATGTTCAAGTTTATTGATAAACTGGTCCAAGTAAGGGAAGGATGGCAACTCAAGACAAAGGTTTAAATACACTATATTAGACTACATAAGTCTATCCGTATCCAGAACAATAAATGGAAATTACAAAACAGATGTTAGCATATCCCAAATGGTTATTATTTTTTTCAACTATACTCCTAATTAGACGTACACTAGACAGTATCACCCACATTTTTGCTGTTTGTAAAATATGATAAAATCTTGGAAATCAAATATTAACTATTTACAATTGATTTATAGATGTACCAAAGTTGTAACTTGTTTTCCGGGGTATTCCAAATCCCTAGACGCAAACCCCTAAACATTAAAAATAACTGATACCGTGATAGCCTCTCTGGTATAGAAATGTCATCAATACGACACAGCATGACGTAACGCTTTCTGATTGGTATTTCGCGTAAAGTAATTACATACCTATTTCTTTTAATTTTATTTCTCAAAAATAGCAATAATTTTTGGTTCTTATAATAAAAAATATTGTTTTCTGTTATCGCGAAATCATCATTAATCGTTAGAAACTATCGTCCATCTGTTGTTTTTCTAGTTGACATAAGCCTATTAAATTTATTCTCCTAATAATAAGAAGAAACTAATCAATCAACTGGGACCCATTTTCCATATGTTTTGTGCAGGGATTTTTCGTAGAAATTCCAGCAGAGGTATTACGTATCTTGTAAGGTTTTTCTTCAAAATGTCAAGTTAGAACTAGCTGACATTATTGGAGGTTTAAGCTGTAAGTGAGGATTTGTGTGGTAATAAATAATCTGTGATAATTCCATTGCTTTCCTGTCTCAAATACACTTACTTGAGATTTATGCAAAGTTAGAAATTAATTACGCATCCACTTTTTCTTATTCATCCTGGAAATTACATAAGTACTCGAATTTATGAAACGTGAAAAGGTTATTACATTTTACATTACTTTTTTATTTACATTCATTTAAATTTTATAGAAATTCCTTTGGCGATGTCAAGTAGAAAATACAAATCAGCGCCTAGATGTAAGGCACTGCGAACATTTTTTGTGTATGATGATGCATCGTTCATAATTTTTCTGAGATGTGGCTTAATTTCACACAACGCGTTCGCGGTGGTGATTTCTCGTAATGTAAAACGCAAAAAACTCTGGGTAAATCGTAATTTATAACTTTGAACATAACCTCTCTTCAGAAAGGACAACATAAATAATCCGTCTGGTACAGCTAATGGATATACTTTATGGGCAGCATATTCAGTAATACTTTTACCACATAGCATCTCTGATATTATACACAGTCCAATACACACAATCATCAAGATGCGGTCTTGCTACTCTGCTACTCAACCAATTTTCTTTTTCACATCTCAGAGATATACTCTACAGATTGTCTCGACATTATGCAACCAAAGAAGCATGCTGGGGAACTAACTTACAGCTGATTATTGACTGTCTCGTTGAGTCATTTCTCCATAGAACACGCTGATATCGAGCAATAGCGAAATGAACTATTTGCACACTAGGAATTATCTGGTTAACAAGTTGATATTTTGTCGTTTTTTGACATTATACAGGGTGTTTCAGTTTATTGTTGCATAACTTTAAGATTCGATAGAACTTTTAAAATTAATGCATACAGTCTATATGAATATGGGTTTTTTGGTACGACAAAACGAACCATGGGCATAGTTTTACTGTAGCCGCTAGAGGGCGCTCTTTACTGTACCTGTAGTGTATTAAAATGACCGAAATTTTTTCTTAGTACAATTTTTTGCTTTTTGAATAAAAAACTGATTCTTCGCACTTTTCTGCATAAAAAAGCTCTCCTGTGAGTTTTCGTTATAGTTAGCCGTTTTTGAGATATTTCGATTTTTAAGGTTCGATTCATTTTTAATTATTTATGGGAAAATAATATTTTTTTTACATTTTCGATTTGGGCATTACAAGTAATTAAGATGATCGTTTAGATTATATTTTTAAACACAGCAATAATTCCTAACTCCAAATAAACGCAAAAAAAACAGAATATTAATTTGTTTAATTTTCCAATATTATTTTTAACAAATTAAATTAATTACTCACAATTAAAATGCTATTGGATTGTTAGGACAAACATACAAAATCTAAAGTAGTTGCTCGAAATGTAAACCCAATTGTTCAATACACAATTCACATCTACGAATGATCGAACGTGGTATAGCATTATTCAAATAAGGCCTTATTTCATCACATGCATTCCTGATTCTGTCTATTAGCATATCTCTTGTGGTTACGGGAGTCTGGTACACTTTTTCTTTTAGAAAACCACACACAAAGAAATCTAATGGCTTTAGGTCAGGGAATCGTGGAGGCCAGGCGACTGGTCCTCTACGGCCGATCCATCTTTCTGGATAATTTTCGTCCAGCCAGTTTCTAACTATCCTCGAATAATGAGCTGGACAACCATCAAGCTGGAACCAGACCAATCTTCTTAAATCTAACATAACATCATCCCACATATTTGCATGTTCAGCCTTTAAAAATTCCAAGAAGGTCGCAGCATTTAACCTTGCAGGCAAAAGGTAGGGTACAAATAGTCGATTACGGTAGATACCAATCCACACGTTCACACTAAATTCATGTTGAAAATTTCTTTCCCGAACTGCATGCGGATTTTCATGCGACCAAATATGTTGATTATGAAAATTTACCACTCCACGTCTAGTGAAGCATGATTCATCGGTCCATAAAACGTTACGTAAAAACTCCCTATTATTATCAGTTCTATCAAGAATCCACTGACAAAATGTGATTCTTCGTTCTCCATCCCCTGGCTGTAGTCCTTGTACAGGTTGCAAATGGTAAGGACGTCTATGGTCATTTCTAAAAACACGGTGAACATGGCTTGCTGAAATTCCCAAGCCACCAGAAAGTCTCCTAACACTTGTGGACGGATCTCTATCAAACTCACGTAGAATCATACGGGTAAATCTGTGCTGACGAACAATTATGTTTTGATCCCTGTGGAGATTTCCAAAACCATTTTCAATTATTTGGCGATGCACTCTTAAAAATACTGAAGTACAAGTACAAGAGTTGGATGACGTCTGTTTGGAAATCTTCGTGCGTATTCTCTGGCTGCTTCTGCTGCGTTTCCATTTACAAAGCCATACACAAAACGAATATCCGCTAACTCTTGATTGGAGAATAAAAATGTCATTTTTATAAAACTTACAAAAAAAAAATAGGTAAAAGAAACTAAATTTCGTGCATTCACAATTGCAAAAAAACGTTTCAGGTTTCAACAGACAACAAAACTAACAGTCAACTAATTGAAGTTTAACCTTATTCTGCTTTCAATTTCAAAAATATTTGCAGGCACAGCCTACTTCTAAAAATTATCGAGATACTGACTTTTTAACGTTATTTTATCATAAATAATTAAAAATGCATTGAACCTTAAAAATCGAAATATCTCAAAAACGGCTAACTATAACGAAAATTCACAAGAGAGCTTTTTATGTTGAAAAGTGCGAAGAACTAGTTTTTTTATTCAAAAAGCAAAAAATTGCACTAAGAAAATTTTTTCGGTCATTTTAATACACTACATGTTCAGTAGAGAGCGCCCTCTAGCGGCTACAGTAAAACTATGTCCATGTTTCGTTTTGTCGTACCAAAAAACCCTTGTATACCAATTTTCACTGTTATACATCAAATATTGTTCGAAATATTTAAAAAAAACTATTTTAGAAAGTAAATTTAAACACACTATATTTCGGAAGCCACGCATTTTTCGACCCATGTTTATATAGACTTTATGCATTAATTTTAAAAGTTCTATCGAATCTTAAAGTTATGCAACAATAAACTCAAACACCCTGTATAGGTTTCTTTCGTTTCAACCCTGCAATTCCTCGAGACTATTGTCTAGTAAATATGGCATTAGATTCAAGGACAAATACTATTATAACTTATAACCGTCTATGTTTTAACGGTGTGAAACTGTGTACAACAAATTGTAATATTTGATTAACTATTTTCAGTTACCATGGCTACACAGCCGATAGCCCTGGGTCCAGATCCAGCATCGTTGACCTGTCCACACTGTCATGCCAGAGTGACAACGACTATGAAAGCGGCTGCAAATACTAAAACTCACATAATCGCTTTAATTCTATGCGTTTGTCTGTAAGTATATTATCATTAAAACTCACCATAAAGAGACACGAGCCATCGCCAAGAATTTGTACATTGTCAGTATGTCAGATCAAATATCCGTCATTACACACAAAACAGAGTGATCTTGGTTCAAGAACAACTATCTTCAATAAGTACCGTAAACGTGCGTTTCGTAAAAAAAGTCAAGTTAAAATACTCCAGCTGATAACACTATCGGACGTTTATACGCAAAATTTGTGAACACCGGTAGTCTTAGTAATGCCAGCCACCTATCCAGACAACCAAACAAGACGTTCCGATGAAAATATCGAAGATGTACGAGCCAGTGTTGAAGAGACTCCATCAATATCCGGTCGTACATCCTTCTCAACCACTCGAAGCACTCGCAGACGCATAATTCGTAGGATTTGAAGATGTTTCCATACCAAGTTCAAATGGCTCATCAATTCCGTGTCGCTTTGACTTTGCTAAATGGGGCATTGAAATTGCCGAAAATGAAGATAACTTTTGGCGAAAAATCATCATGTCCGACGAAGCACATTTTTCGTTACACGAAGGCGTAAGTAAACAAAATTGTCGCTTTTATGCCACCAAAAACCCTCAATTAATCGAACAGCAACCTCTTTATGACCAAAAAGTTACTGTTTGATACGACATGTGCGCGAATATGGTCATCGGGCCGTATTTTTTGAGGACGATGATGGAGCTCTGGTAACCGTCAATGGTGAGCGTTATCGAGCCATGATAACAAATTTTTTGAGGCTAATTGTTTGTGAAAATGACATGGACGATTACTGGTTCCAGCAGGACGGCATCATATGCCACACAGCTCAAGCAACAATCAATTTATTGCGACCATTGTTCCCAGGATAACATATCGAAAAATGGCGATTTTGACTGGCCACCAAGATATCCTGATTTGACGCCACCAGACTTTTATTTGTGAGCTATTTGAAATCCAAGGTATACGCTAACAAGCCAAGGGCTTTAGCTGCCCTCAAGAACAATATTCGTCAAGAAACTGCCGCCACATCCGCCGAAACATTGGTCAACGTGATGGAAAAAGCCGAAAAAAGGGCACATTGGGTTATCAAGGCCATTTGCGCGATATCATTTTTGAAAAGTAATTACAACAAATCTCCTTGGATCAAAACAGAAGATTTTTCAAATGAACAACAAAAAATGTTTTTTCAATGTATTTTTTATAAACAAATGCTTCCACTTTAAATGGCCCACGCTGTACTTGTGTGTACGCGTATTATCCATAGTCAACTCATAATTGACGAACTTTTGCAAGCCAGCCACTTGACGGTGCTATAGAATAATTATGTGAGTAAAATTTTTAGAATTTTCAAAATCTTCCAAATTTTCGATATTGTTAAAACTTGAAATTTTTTTGGATGTTTTGAAAATTTTTATTATTAGGAAAGTAGTAGTAATATGCTGGGAATGTATGCAAAGAAATGTTTCAATTGCTTTCAGTTTTGAGTGTATATGTTTTCAAGGTCGTTGATAAAGAATTTGATAATGACCTCCAATGACGCGTAACTGTCAAAGCTGCAGTTAGTTGCAGCCAAAATTGACATATTTCTTAACTGGGTGTCTCTAACTTGAAATAGAGCGACCTCTAACGGATGTTTTTTGTGAACTCTTTTTGACTTTGTTATCGTATCGTATCATGTGACGAATTGACAAGTGATACAATGCCATGTCATAATAATAATAATAATAATAATAATAATAATAATAATAATAATAATGATAATAATAATAATAATAATAATAATAATAATAATAATAATTCTTTATTCAACGAATCATCAAGCGATGAAAAATAAATAAAAACTGGTACAATGAACAAACATCCAAAAAACACTTAAGGGACGATACTAGGATAAAAAGGTACAAACAAATGTATACTAGTTTCTAAGATAAGCGAGAACTCGTCAATACTGTAAAAGCAGCCTTCCAATAAAATGTTTCTTACCTTTCTTTTGAAGCTATTCAACGACCTAACCTAACGCATGTCGGCTGGAAGCAGGTTAAAGAACATACATCCAGCATAAACTGGAGACTTTTTATAGTACATGTGTTGAAATTTATTGTTAATGAAATTGTCTTTGTTACGCGTGTTGTAATTATGCATAACGGAATGTCTTTTAAATTTGTTCTAATTTTGGAAAAAATAGACTAATAGCTTGAACATATAAATAGATGCCACAGTAAGAACTCGATAACGTTTGAATATTTCCCTCCAAGAAGACTGATAGTGAATTTTAGAAATTAAACGAATGATCCTTCTTTCGAGGATGAAAACACGCGTCTTTAGCCTGCCTCCACAAGACAATAAATACGATATGAAATAGCAGAGCATCCTAAACGCATAATAAATATTCAAGCATTCTGTATCTAAGGTATTTTTTAAAGAATTTATCACAGAATAACATTTACCAAGCTTAGCGCATAGTGAATTGGCATTTTCCTCCCATGACAGATGTGAGTCTAAAATTACAAAGAATTTAAATGACATGGATGATTTTATTAGAGATCCTTCAAAGTTGTGATTAATATTAGTCGGAGGTGTATGCCTGATGTGAAACTCCATGGTTACAATCTTATTACAGTTGACGATTAAGCGGTTTTTATAGGACCAAACATCAAATTCCTTTATCACAATTTTTGTTTTTTGCTCAAGGCTTTCCGCTGAGTTAGCAGATACAATTATACAGGTGTCATCAGCGTATAAAAATGGTGCACCTTCACTGATATACAAAGGAAGATCATTGACAAACAATAAAAAGATCAAAGGTCCTAAGACGCTACCTTGAGGTGTTCCACAATCGATGTCAAATTCAGTAGATTTTTTATCATCAACTTTTACAAAAAAATTTCTCTTTTCCAAAGGTCGACCATGAGTTAACACAACCTCGAATTCCAATCTTATTGAGCTTATCAGAAACAAACTTGTGGGAAACAGTATCGAATGCTTTTGTGAGATCGAAAAATATTGCTGTTACGAGCGTACCATTGTCGACAGAAGTATATTGTAACAAGAATGAATAGTACCGTTGGGCCATCTGTTGGGGACCGTGCCAGAGACTCTCTTTCGGTGGCGACATCTGTTGAGGACCGTGCCAGTGACTCGCCTTCTAGATCGACTGCGAAGTGACCTCGAACAGTCTAGACTGCCGCTTTGTGGCTCGCCAGAATCTTCTCGACCCAACGATACGGACTATATAACTCGACGGCCGGGAGAGGGAAGCAGAGTAGAGTAGAGTAGGGTAGAGCAGAGTGGAGTATAGTTCAGTCAATGGCGCGACATAATAATTAGTCTGACATAAATAGTGGTGTATGTTCTGTCTAGTCAAGATAAATAAATTAGTGCATTTCTTTTTGTGGAATCCATTGTTTTAATCCACACCCAAAAGAACCCAGAAAAAGGCTACAATATGCTGAACACATTCGGTGGTTACTAGTTCTGTTGAAAATCCAGCACGAAAACCAAACTAACGGTTTGTCAAGATTTTATAAGTGTTTAAGTAAGACTCAATCTTTATTGCAATGACTTTTCCTATGATTTTTGAGAAAATACTTAAAAGAGCTATTGGCCTGTAGTTTTCTAAGTCTATAGGATCACCTTTTTTAATATTAGGATAATAGTAGCTAATTTTAATGCAGATGGAAAGGTACCTTTAATTACTGAAGCATTGATAAGTTCAGAAAGTATTGGTGCAATAATATTATCATTATCCTTAAATGGCGAAACGGGAATCTCATCGGGTTCAGTACTTTTTTATTGGGTAAGTTGTTGATTACATCGATGACGTCACTGGTGATGACAGGACTGAAAACATGGTGCTGGTGTTGATAGATAGTAGTACATTCATTGGATATATTAGAGAAATGACATGACATACTTCTTTCAATGACAGTAGATAAGTATTCACCAAAGGAATTTGCTATAGTAGATGGCTCGTCAGATGTTATAATATGTACCATCAACGGAGATACAGTCAATTTTATTATTTCTGCACCTATTTGATGATAGATACATACCTTTGGCTCTGCAATCGATCTTGCCACAGCTCAATACAGCTGGTTATTTTAAAACGTGGAAATATTCAAATAAAGTATTTTTCAAGAGTATCGATTACGTCAAACGTGACAGCAAATAACAACAGCAATGCTAACGGATCTTCCAACGCTAGATCTGTAGTATTTTGTTGTGATGTTGTGTGTACGCTATGTGTTCATGCAACGCAACGCTTTTATTTAGGAAAGCACCTTCGCACACAAGAAAAAAATCTATAAGCAGAATGCTAATTATCGAGACTACTTCAAGTCACGTAGGAATAAAACAAGATAAACACCTTTTGAGTATGTTTTGGTATAAACATATACAAAACGAGAGAACGAGAAGAATATGGATGACCTCTGCCTTAGTAAACTCTGTAAACAATAAAAACGAACTATAGCACGAAATGACAGAACAACCTACAGAAAACATATAAACAAATTCAAAGGCTAGAAACTTGTTAAGTAATTTAATAAAACTAAGAAAGAAAGAATTTTATGATAATAAGATGAAACAAAACAATAACAGCAGTATTATTGGAATGTGCGAAAAACATATTTAGCTGGGCAAATGAAAATACGGCAATCACTAAAATCTAGAATGAGCTCGGAAATGAAACAACCAACAAATATGCTTCTGCTCAGGAGTTGGTACAATATTTCACAAATATCGGCAAAAGGCTTGCGGAGAAATACCACAGACACATCCTATCAAGCAAACGCATAAGCTCAGCAATTCACTTTACTTAGACTATACCGATGAAAATGAAGTTTTAGTGTCTATTTTGGAACTAAAAAATGGCAAAGCTCCCGGAAATGATAACCTAAAATCAGTGATCCTTAAAAAAATACGCTAGCATATCTGCAAGCCGCTAACTTACATAATAAATGAATGTTTTCGTACAGGGGTGTTTCCGGATGTCTTATAAAAAGGC